TTCAAAATCTACACATAAATTAACAAAGTACAATAATAAAATCATAATACAAGCCTATTGTGGTGGTAGTGGCAGAGGATATGTTTCGATAGCGTCATAATCCTCAACTTTAGCCATCAAAGTCTCGACGATTCCATACAAAAAAACAAATATGGTCAAATAACAAAAAAATGGGCATAATCTCCTCTAAAATTGTTACCACAAATCCAACCCAAAGTCCAATCTTCACCCTATACTCAACCCCAAACCCCACACAAACTCAAAACTAACTCCAAAAACACATATTAATGAAAAAAATTTAAAATTTGAAAAGAATATACCTTTTGGCAAGATTGAGAGTGAGTGAGAATGAAAGAATTAGAGAATATAGTGAGAGAGAGATGAGAAAGTGAGAGATACTGAAAGAGAGATGAGAGAGTGAGTGAGAGAGAGAGAGATGAGAGATTAAGTGAGAGGAGTGAGTGTGAGAGAAATGGTTGGATTTGGGGAGAGGGAAAGAGAGAGGAGAGGTAAGAGTAGAGAAAGACATTGAGAAAATGATGGAGGAGTTATTTTGGTTTTAAAAACCGTATCACTTTGTGCAACGAAAAATATTGGTGCCGCAAAGTATAAAAAAAATTATAATAAAAAAAAATTCATGCGTCCCATTTTTGGTGCCCGCCCAAATTTTTAGAGTTTCGCGCGATGAAAAATTCGTTGGTCGCACAAATGTTTGCGTGATGAAAAATATGTTGGTTGCACAAAGTTTTGCGCAACGAAAAATATTGGTTGCGCAAAGTCTTAAAAAAAAAATTTAAAAATTCCCGCGTCCCATTCTTGATACCCGCCCAAATTTTTAGAGTTTTGCATGACGAACTATTGGTCTGCAAACTTTTGAGAGACTAAAAATTGGTTCGTAGCGCAATATTTATAAAAATAATTGTTATGAATAGTATAAAAAAATTTATTTTACGATTTAAAATATAAATAAGGTTAAAGGTACTTAATAAATATATATACTATTCAATTTCTTAAGTGTTATACGTACAAATTAAATAAATTTAAAGCTACTTAATAAATATATATATATATATACACACACCATTCAACGATCCAACCGTCAAACTTGTTTGTTTATACTTCAAGATCGTATACCCCAAAAATCACAAAAAACAAACATTCAAAGATCAAGTAAAGGGAGAAAACTTTTCGACGGTTATAAATGAAAAATCACGATTTAACGGTTATTTTAACTCCGATTTTGATTATTTTTTACAGCTACACTCCTTGACTCTATATGAATACAATGACTGAATTTGATCTTCAATTTAAAATATTTACACTAGTGAATACCACGAAATCTTATGTTATATTTAACGAAACTATAAATAAACTCTTAATTGTTAGTGAATATATTGTTTTGATGGCATACATATTCTACGAAACTAGTTTAAACAATCCAACCATCAAACTTGTTTGCTTATACTTTGAGATATATACGCCAAAAATCGGAAAAAATAAACATTCAGAGATCAAGTAACAGGAGAAAACTTTTCGACGATTATAAATGAAAAATCACGATTTAACTGTTATTTTAACTCCGATTTTGATGATTTTTTACAGCTACACTCCTTGACCCTATATTAATACAATGACTGAATTTGATTTTCAATTTAAAATATTTACACTAGTGGATAGCACAAAATCTTATGTTATATTTAACGAAAGTATAAATAAACTCTTAATTGTTAGTGAATATATTGTTTTGATGGCATACGCATTCTACAACACTAGTTTCAATGATCCAACCGTCAAACTTATTTTTTTTATACTTCGAGATCATATACGCCAAAAATCGAAAAAAATAAACATTCAGAGATCAAGTAATTGGACAAAACTTTTCGACGGTTATAAATGAAAAATCACGATTTAACGGTTATTTTAATTCCGAGTTTAATGATTTTTTACAGCTACACTCATTGACCCTATATGAATACAATGACTGAATTTGATCTTCAATTTAAAATATTTACATTAGTGGGTACCACAAAATCTTATGTTATATTTAACGAAATTATAAATAAACTCTTAATTGTTAGTGAATATATTGTTTTAATGGCATACGCATTCTACGAAACTAGTTTCAACGAACCAACCATCAAACTTGTTTGTTTATACTTCGAGATCATATACGCCAAAAATCGGAAAAAAGAAACATTCAAAGATCAAGTAACGAGACAAAACTTTTCGACGGTTATAAACGAAAAATCACAATTAAACGGTTATTTCAATTTCGATTTTGATGATTTTTTACAGCTACACTCCTTGACCCTATATGAATACAATGAACTAATTTGATCGTCAATTTAAAATATATATTTTCTAACAAAAACCCAATCCGAACTACAATAATATATTTTTCTTACAAAAGTTCGATATGAACTAAAATAATAAATTTAGAGCTACTTAATAAATATATATATATATACCGTTTTATTTCTATAGTGTTATGCATACAAAATAAAAAACAAAAATTTGTCTCACAAAGTGACTTTGAGCGACGAATTGTTTTTCCTCGCGCAAAATTTGGTCGCGTAAGACTTTGAGCGACGAAGTTTTTAGTTTCGTCGCGCAAAGTGACTTTGAGTGACGAATATTTTTTCGTTGCGCAAAATTTGGTCAAGAGTTTTTTTTTTATACTAGTGTGGAGTTTATTACTATTACATCCATGAGAGAATTAAGAACAAATGTGAGGGGTAGAAAAGAAAATGGTGGAGTGTTGAAGCAATTGAAAGGATGAAAGGTGGGACTCTTGTTTTAAGTTCATTTTTAATTATTGAGTTTTTGTGTAATTAATTGTTTGAGTGGATTTATAGTTGTAACTGAGTTAGAGAATGATTTATGAACCTTTTGATGCATAAGAAAATCAAAAGAAGAATTTTGAAATCAAGATTGTCGGATATTGGGTGTGTTGATAAATTTTTGGGTTTGGGTGTTCACAATTAGATGCAAATCTTGTTTTCGGGAAGCTTAGGCCAAGGGTATGATGTTGCAGTATGATTTCGAGCCTTAAGGATGGTATTGGAGGTGTGTTGAAAGAGACTTTTGAGAAAATTCTGAAACTTTGTATTTTTCTGGAAATTTCAGTTCATGGGCCTTACTTTGGCTCCCGTGTTGCTTTGATCTGTGAAGTGTTTTTGAAAGGTTTTGATGTTTTGGAAACTAGGAATAGCAAGGGTCAAAACGCTTTTGATTTCACTGATTTTGGTTAAGTTTTGGGGGATCAAATATTAGAGTGAAGTTAGGTTTTTGGGGATCAAATTTTGGTTAAGTGTCACTGATTTTACACTTTCCTAAATGGATTAAATGATCGACTTGACAAGGCTCGCAGGGATGTACTCCAAATGCATTTGTTTCCTACAAAAAGTACAAACCGATCTGTCGGGACCGACACCGCCTTCTACTGACGTTGTGCTGCTTCAGATACAATCATATGCAAAGACAACCACCCAACCTGCAAACACCACGAAGCCAAATACGGCTTCATGACTGAAGACTTAGACAGATGGAGGAGATTGCACACTTTGTGGCAATCCGAAATATACTCGTGAAACTTTTTCCAAGTTGAATGGCTATCCAAAATGGTGGGATGAACTCAAAGTCCAAGAGCAACGAGAAGCTACAAGTAGTGGTTCGGGTCGTGCCACCCTCGTAACTGCCGAAACCCAGTTATCTTTTGTTCCTCAGGTAGGATATTCTAGTGCTTCAACACTTGATGATGGTTCTACGACCCTCAGTGACTCATGTAACCGTGGTTATGTTTTCCATACTTATGATAAGAATGATTCCACTGGTTGGATAATTATTTCTGACTCAACTGACCATATGGCGTTTGATCCCAATGACTTTCTAAGTAGCACCCAACTTAGACGAACAAGTATTGCTAATGCAAATGGAGTTACTTATCCTAGGACATAGGCAGGCATTGCTGCCCTCTCAGTTTCTCTCTCACTGTCTAATATTTGCTTGTTCCATCTCTGTCAAAGAAATTAATGTTTATTGGTTAGGCTACTGAACAATTTAATTGGTGTGCACTAATTTACCGAAGCTTTTGTTTTCTTCATGATATTCTCACCAAGAAAATCATTGGTCGTGGTCCTAAGACAAGGGGGGTCTATTATGTGGATGACTTCAGTACATGCAAAGCTAACAATATGAGGCATCGATCTGTTACCATATTTATTTTCTAATTTTAGTGACTTAGACTTTAAATGTGAGCGATCATGTGTCTTATCCTTTGAGTTTGAATGGAAATAAATCGAAGTAATGTTCCAACGGAAGTATTGAACCTCAAAAAAAAGAGAAAGAAAAATCATAACTAAGAAACTGGATGGTCAACTTTTAATTAAAAACCAAGTACTGGAGCCTTTATTTTTTCCGGGGTTCTAACTTACTACCTAAATGGCTTAGGGGACCTGCTGTTACAAAGGTACCACACAATTATTGCAGTACTTAATGATTGATTAATTTATGGGTTAGTCCAAACTCCTGTGACATGCTTGTTTGAAAGGAAGGGGTGGATCGGAAAAGGCTCCAGTTGAAATTTTATCAAAAACAATCTTGGCTGCTGCCTCAGTATAATGAATCCCATCCCAGTTCACTTTAACATAAGGACGTTTGCATGAGCCAGCAAATACTTGTCTTCCATTAACTGTAACTGTTCTTCCACAATCAAGAGTTCTACCGTTAAAGTTGTACTTGCCACCAGAGCCACAACAACCAACAAGTGGTTGCTCAAACCCTGAAAGATTTCAAAGCAATCAATACAAAGTGAAAATAAATTTCATTCAAGGAATTTCTCTATGTATATGCTTTCCTTTTAAATAATACTTAAGCAGCTTATGTGACAAGTGATATGTATACTTGATAAGTCCAACAACATCACTTGAAATTAGGTACGTAAGGAATATGAAATGTTTCAACTTTTTGTCGGTGTGCTTTGTGAAGGTCGAGTGGCTTACCATATTTTTTAGGTTCCTTGTAAAGAGAGTATTTGACTGAATAGACATCTACATAAGTAATTGCAGCCAAAGGTAAATCTTTCCTAAGTTGAACTGTAGCCTCCTTCAGCTTGTAGTTAAATTGCTGAGCTACTTCATTGTGCGACTTTGCACAGCCAGCCTCATCCTTTTGAGATGGGAAATTGGCTAAGATGTAAGGGAGACAGCCAATTGGCCCAGTGTTGTGGATCCAAAATGATCTCCCTCCCAAATCATATATTTTCTACATTGTAAACATCAACATTATAATTCAGTAAAAGTGAAAAAAGAGCGAGCGGAAAAATAGAAAATATTGCATTATTAGACAGTCTGACATGTTATATTAATACAGTTTTATCACTGGAAGATTAATTAACCTTAATATTTGCTGAGAAGCTACTGATTATATCAGGAACAGATGCATTGACTTGTTGAATAGTCAAGTTGGCAAAGAACCCTTCTCCAAGGTCATTCTGGCCAATGTCAAATGTGTACAAGGCTTTGGAAAAATACTCCTCCTTGGGCATCAAACTTGCAAATATTCCCCCTACATGCATATTGAACAAAGCTCCAGTCACAAAGTTTTGGCTTGAAAATAATGTGTCACCTAATAATTAATAAATGTTAGAGCTTCAGTATTTTATTTTTTTTACCTCGATGCCTAATGAGTTGTGATCTGTTTTTAAGTTGCAAGAACTGCGAGTATTGAATAGTGAGGGTGAAGGGACTATATCCACCAGGAGCTGGTAAAATGCGATTTGGCAATCTGATGGTTGAAGATCCAGTGGCAAAATTTGCACCGTGCGAGAAGTTGGCCCCAAGTGAATCCAGATATGCGCTTAGAAAGGGGTGACCAAGACTCTTTGCTAAACCACAAGTTTTATCAGACGATCAATTTAAAGAGAAAAAAAAAGAAACAGAAAAAACCCAGAACAAAGAAAAGCATGTTGCAAGTTTGCAACCATGTGGGAAATAATTGGGATGATTTTTCCATTTAAATTTGTAAAAATTTTGGTCATGGATATAGAGATTTTAAGTACTTAGGCAAAAAAAATTTGATCGATTTAGGTAGATCATCAAGTCATGAAATTTGACAAACATGTGTAAAGATTATATCACCAATTGTGATTGGCATGTAAGTAGGAATGGTTGTTTACAGAGAATGAGCCAAACATACACAGAAGAACAAAGATGAAATTTGAAAACATAAATATAATACATTTCCTTAAATTACGTACCAAGAAAATCGATTATGAGCCTGCCATCCGAGATTCTTCCAGCCGGAATATGAAAATAGGTTTCTCCATAAGGTGGTGGTGATGGATAAATGGATGCAGCCAATCCACCAGTATCTGAATTTGAGTCTCCGAAGTTAAAGATTGCTGGAAATTCACACTCTTTTATAGCCAAGGCAGGCCTCAAAGCGGTGATATAATGTGACGAAAGCATATAAGAGCAAAATAGAGAAATGATAACTTTGATATTAATTCTGGGAGACTCCATAGTGGAGAAAAATCAAATACCAAGAAGATGTGATGTTGGAGATGAGAACTAAGAAAATCCTAAAATGTGACATCAAGAGTAGATATGTATGAGAGAAGTTGTGGTGTAGGGACTGCCGCATACAACGGCGACTCAAGGGGGACTCCCTGCATGTGAGAGTTTGTTGTATGCGGCAGCCTCTACGCAAGAATCACTGCATATTTGGTCGGTTTGTATTTTTTTGGGTGATCTGTACACATTAAATTGTGTAATATTTTTATTTATTCAGCAAACTCTTATATATGATCGAGTAATTTCAGACTCTCACAGTGGTTGTTACAAGTGTGTCTATGGCTCCAGATTTCCTATCATAATACTACGACAAATTTAAGCAAATCTGTAAATCCACCAAGTTTGGCACCTCACCAACCTACTTTTCTCATTGGTACATTTTTTACCCAAAAAAAAAAAAAAAAAAAAAAAAAAAAAAAAGATCAGGCTCTTCCCATGTGTGCTTAATGTCCAAAGACATGAACAAGGTTTAATTCTGGTGATATGTGACAGAAGCATATAAGAGAGAAACAGAGGTTTAATAGTAATTCTAGGAGACTGCATGGTGGAGAAAGCAAGTACCAGAAAAATGTTGCAGAAGAGAGGTGGAATCCAAGAGTATGTTTGTTGTATATATCTAAAAGAAATAAAATATTAATATAACAAATTATAATATCTAAAAGAAATAAAAATAATTAATTCTCTCTCTCTCTCTCGCAACACAAGGGAAACAAAACCTAGCACGAAATCAGCTAGGAAGAAAAGCCCTCCACAAATATGGGAGACATAACCCAGTTTAGTCGAATGGTGGGATGATTGCACTAGGTAGAAAGAAGGAAGAAAGGAGGCGAAGCGGCCTCCCCAACCACCCAACCCCACTACAAAAAAAACACCTCTTTTTTTCATGTGAAACACTAGATCGAAGTAATGTTCTATGAGAAGTATTGACCTCAAAAATAAGAAGAAGAAAAATCAATGAACTTTTAATTAAAAACCAAGTACTGGAGCCTTTATTTGTTATGGGATTCGAAATGACTACCTAAATGGCTCATGGGACCTGACCTGCAGTTACAAAGGTACCACACAATACGAAACAGTTTCCACCTGCATGCTTGTGTTTGCAGTACTTAATGATTGATTCATTTATGGGTTAGTCCAAACTCCTGTGACATGCCTGTTTCAAAGGAAGGGGTAGATCGGAAAATGCTCCAGTTGAAATTTTATCAAAAACAATCTTGGCAGCTGCCTCAGTATAATGAATCCCATCCCAGTTCACTTTAACATAAGGACGTTTGCATGAGCCAGCAAATATTTGTCTTCCATTAACTGTAACTGTTCTTCCACATTCAAACAGTTCCACCGTTATAGTTGTACTTGCCACCAAAGCCACAAGCAGCAACAAGTGGTTGCACAAACCCTGAAAGATTTCCAAGCAATTAATACCAAATGAAAATAAATTTCATTCGCGGAATTTCTCGATGCATGCTTTCCTTTACAATAATACTTAAAGAGATCATATTTTAAAGCTGCATTATGTGACAGGTGATGTGTCCTTGATTAATCCGACAAAGTCACTTGAAAGTATGTAAGTAAGGAAAAGAAAAGGCTAAGCTACAACTTTTTGTCTGTATGTTTTGTGAATATCATAAAGTTGAGTGACTTACCATATTTTTGGGGTTCCTTGTAAAGAGAGTATTTGACTAAATATACGTCCACATATAGAGGTAATTGCAGCCAAAGGTAGATCCTTCCTAAGTTGAACTGTGGCCTCCTTCAGCTTGTGGTTAAAATGCTGAGCTACTTCATTGTATAACTTTGCACAGCCAGCCTCATCCTTTTGAGATGGGAAATTAACTAAGATGTAAGGGAGACAGCCAATTGGCCCAGTGTTGTGGATCCAAAATGATCTCCCTCCCGAATCATATAATTTCTACGTCGTAAACATTGACATTATAATTCAGTAAACTGAAAAAAGAGCGATTTGAAAAATGTAAAATATTTCATTATTAGATAGTCTGATATGTTATATTATATTTGCTGAGAACCCACTGATTATATCAGGAACCGATGCATTGACTTCTTGAACAGTCAAGTTACCAAAGATCCCTTCTCCAAGGTCATTCTGACCAATGTCAAATGTGTATAAAGCTTTGGAGAAATACTTCACCTCGGGCATCAAACTTGCAAATATGCCCCCTATATACAAATTGAACAAAGCTCCAGTCACAAAGTTCTGGCTTGAAAATAATGTGTCACGCTAATAATTAATAGGCTCTTATCACAAATAGTTCATGAGGTTTACAAAATAGTTATAAATCGTCCTTAAGGTTTTTTTGTAACACTAATAGTCCTTAACGTTACTTTTTACACATCAAATTGGTCCATGTTGTTAGAAATTTTGTTAAGTGGCTGATGTGAAAGATAAGTGGAACTCACATGTCCAATGACATCATGACACATGGATAAATGTTTTTTTTTAAAGTTTAAAATTGAAAATCCATAAATATATATATATATATATCCAGAAAGCTTCCATTGAGGGATCCCTCAAATAAGCTTATTTGATGGACACCCCTTGTAGGGCCAACTCTGGATTGTATTTCACTAATCTAAACCGTCTATTTTGTAGATACACATTCAAAGATCATCTCTACAAAAATTCACTTGAATCCGATATCATTTGACCATTCAATTGAGTTATTGAAATTTTAGTACTTTCTTGAAGCACCGTGTTCATTGATTTTGTAGGACCCAATTGAATGTCGAAACGGTTTCCGATTTGTCTAATTTTTTGTAAGGATGATCTATGAATGAAGACCTAAAAAATAGATAGTTTTGATCATTGGAAAAAAAATTGTAGGGTACCCTAAAAGGCGTCCCTCAAATAAAATTATTTGAGGGATCCCTAAATAGAAGGGGACTGTATATATATATACATATATATATAATAAAAATCCATATTTCCCCTCTGCAACTTTCCATCCCTCTCCCTTTGCTCCGTCTCTCTCCCCCTCTGCACTCTCGCTCCCTCTACCCTCTCTCCCTATGTTCTCTCTCCCTCTCCCTATATTTTTTTTTGCCACAACCCGTCCAACCTCATCCCTGCTCGTAACCCACACCCAACCCCACCCTCCCCCTGTTTTTTTTTTTAATCTCCCACAACCCGGCCACCCCCATCCCCACTTGCAACCGATGCCCCAGCCCCGGCCCCACTCGCGACCCACCCTCTTCCTTTCCCTTTATTTTTCCTCTTCTCCTCTACTCTCCCTTCCCCCCTCTGCTCTCCATTTCCCTTTGTTTTTAATTTTCTTTTTCTTTTTTAAGTTTTTTTAAAATAGATTATCAATTTTATTTTATTTTTCTAATCCACGTGTCATGATCTCATTGGACATGTGAGCTCCATTTATTTTCAATGGGTGGGCTAAAATCTAATTGCCTTTTTTTTATTATTGTTTCTATCAGCCCCGATCTCTTAGGCCATAGGAGTCCAAGAGATTGTGGTCACTCACCATTGGATGTCAAAAAAGTTTCTTAAAATGAGTGCAAGAGTGAGTGAACCGTTGAATTTACATCCAACAGTGAGTGACCACAAATCTCTTGGACCCCTATAGTCCAAGAGATCGGGACTGTTGTTTCTATAATTTTTCTAGAAATAAAAGTATACATTGAGGTAAACTACTAAAAGGTAGAGAGTTAAAATCATGACTGTTTATTGATAGACTATATTTCTTAAGATGATTATAGGCCTACAAAGTTGAGTGGACAAAAATTACTAGGCTACATTTGGATGAGCTACTAAACTTTTATAGGATGAAATAACATTAAAATACACATATATTTTTATTTCAATCGGTTAGTTCCGCCAGTGTGCTAGAGTCCATGGTAGCCCTTTACCTAGTTCCCGCGAGTGTGGACGATTTTGATGTCCAAAGGGTAACATTAAGGACTATTAATATCATAAAAAACCAATAGGATGATTTTTGACAATTTCGTAAACCTTAAGGACTATTTGTGATAAAAAAAACCTAATTAATAAATTAGATTTTTACCTCGATGCCTAAGCAGTTGTGATTTGGATTTTAGTTGCAAGAACTGCATGTACTGAATATCGAGGTAGAAGGGACTAAATCCACCAGCTGGAAAATTTTGATTTGGCAATCTGACGGTGGAAGCTGCAGTGGCAAAATTTGCACCATACGAGAAGTTGGTGCCAAGGGAATCCAGATATGCGCTTAAAAAGGGGTGACCAAGACTCTTTGCTGAACCACAAGTTCTATTAGACAAGAATTTTGGAAAAATGCATGTTGAAAAAGAAAAGAAAACCGCATAACAACGAAATGCATGTTGAAAAAGAAAAGAAAACCGCATAACAACGAAATGCATGTTGAAAAGGAAAAAAAACTTATCATTTACCTTTTCCTAAAAAAACAAAAAACCAAAAATGCATACCTAGAAAATCGATTATGAGCCTGCCATCTGAGAATCTTCCAGCCGGCATATGAAAATAGGTCTCCCCATAAGGTGGTGGTGGTAGGAACAGGGATGCAGCCAATCCACCAGTGTCTGAGTTTGAATCTCCGAAGTTAAAGATGGCTGGAAACTCACAGTTTTCCAAAGCCAAGGCAAGGCTCAAAGTGGTAATCAGTGACAGAAGCATATAAGAGAAAAATAGAGGTTTAATAGTTATTCTAGGAGAGTCCATGGTGGAGAAATCAAGTAGCAGAAATATGTTGCAGAAGAGAACTACTAATAAAATCCGAGATTATGTTTGTTGTATAGTGCAAGAGAGGTGGAATTTTGTACTGCATTTGTAGAAAGGCAAGGTGCTTACATTTCAACCACATCTTGAAATATCTAGCTAGCTGACATTAATTTCAGCATTTATGCCTAGGTTGGAGCTGTGGGTTTCAATGTAAATAATGTCTATGTGCCCTGCCTTACACAACAACTCCTCACAATGGGCCACATGGTAAGAGTTAGTCGTATGCGGTAGTTTTCTACACAAGAATTACTCCATCTGTGAAGACTTTCTTCCGGAAATAAAATTACTTTCACCTTCACACTCATGGCGAGAGTTAGAATAACTCCTACATAAAAGAAAAAATGTTCAGATTGATTTTGAATTTGGTCCATTTGTGTGCATTCAATTGATCATTGTTGTCTATATTTTTATAGAGAGAACTCTTAATGACTATAATCGAGTAATCTCAATTGTCACGGTGGTGTTACAAGTGAAAGTGTGAAAGGGGTAAAAACTTTAAACCAACTAGATAGATCTAAGGGAATAACAATCAAACAAACCAAGCTACAACATGACTAGTCAACAACTAGTTATAGAACATGAGGTGGCAATAACACGTGAACTAAACGATGACTATCTAGTCATCTAGAGTGAAAACTGTAGGGTAGGGGTAAATATTCAAGCCTAACATGTGAACATCACATATTAGGTAAGCGTAGAGGTCCAATTCAGACCCAGTCAATCAACCCGCTTTGATTCTATGTTAAATTCAGAAAGACGAGCCAACGGCCCACTACTAACAACACCGATATTATCCCCAACTTAATCACTTACAAAGCCCAGTAGGTGTGTGGTTTTATCACAAAAGGCCTTGGTATTATTAGTAGTAGAACATTTCATTATATTTTATATTTTATTTAGTCAAGTTTCCGATGTGGGACTCATATTTTTCAACTTAAAAAGTTGTCAAGGAAAGCTAAAAATATATCTAACCAAAAAACCTAACAAGTGTGTTTATGGCTCCAAAATTCTTAACATAATACTTTGACAAATTAAGTAAATATGTAAATCCACCAAGTTTGGCACCTCACCTACATACTTTGCTCATTGTTACATTATTATAAACCCAAAAAGAAGGAGAAAAAAATAGGAAAAAAATAGGCTCGTCCTATTTGTGTTTAATGTCCAAAGGCATGAACAAGGTTAATGGTAATAAGTTCACAAATTAGATAAAATGTAGCAGATTAAGAGCCCGGGAATGCTAATGTTCTGACAAAAACTTTGCTCAATCATTCAAAACACTCCAAAATTCCACACCATATTCCTTCAATGCTAAACAAACTTTTATATATACAAGTAATTTTCTAAATAAATGGATGAACACAAAACCCCAATTTGTACATTTTACTCATCCATATTCAATAAAAACCAATCGCTTTTCTCTCAAAAAGTAATGTTCCAAGAGAAGTAGTATTGATGACCTCAAAAATAAGAGAAAGAAACATCATGGGACCTGCAGTTACAAAGGTACCACACAATTATTGATTAATGTATGAGTTGTTCCAAACTCCTGTGACATGCTTGCTTCAAAGGAAGGGGTGGATCGGAAAATGCTCCAGTTGAAATTTTATCAAAAATAATCTTGGCAGCTGCATCAGTGTAATGAATCCCATCCCAGTTCACTTTAACATAAGGACGTTTGCATGAGTCAGCAAATATTTGTCTTCCATTAACTGTAACTGTTCTTCCACATTCAACAGTTTTACTATTAAAGTTGTACTTGCCACCAGTGCCACAACAAGAAACAAGTGGTTGCTCAAACCCTGAAACATTTCCAAGCAATTAATACAAAGTGAAAATAAATTTCATTCACTGAATTTCTCCATGTATGCTTTTCTTTTAAATAATACTTAAAAGATCATATTTTTTTAAGCCGCATTATGTGACAGGTGTTACGTATACTTGATAAGTCCAACAAAGTCACTTGAAATTAAGTACGTAAGGAAAAGAAAAGGTTACAACTTTTTGCCGGTATGTTTTGTGAATATCATAAGGTTGAGTGGCTTACCATATTTTTGAGGTTCCTTGTAAAGAGAGTATTTGACTGAATATATGTCTACATAGGTTATTGCAGCCAAAGGTAGATCCTTCCTAAGTTGAACTGTGGCCTCCTTCAGCTTGTGGTTAAAATACTGAGCTACTTCATTGTATAACTTTGCACAGCCAACCTCATCCTTTTGAGCTGGGAAATTAACTAAGATGTAAGGGATACACCCAATTGGCCCAGTGTTGTGGATCCAAAATGATCTCCCTCCCGAATCATATATTTTCTACATCACAAACATTAAGATTATAATTAAGTAAAGTGAAAAAAAAGAGCGAGCTGAAAAATGTAAAATATTTCATTATTAGATAATCTGACATGTTATATTAATTCAATATTTTTTCACTGGAAGATTAATTACCTTAATATTTGCTGAGAATGTACTGACTATATCAGGAACAGATGCATTGACTTCTTGAACAGTCAAATTACCAAAAAACCCTTCTGGAAGGTCATTCTGGCCAATGTCAAATGTGTATAAGGCTTTGGCAAAATACTTCTTCTTGGGCATCAAACTTGCAAATATTCCCCCTACGTACATACATATTGAACAAAGCTCCAGTCACAAAGTTTTGTCACCCTAATACTTAAATAATTATAGAGCTTTAGTTTTTGTTTTACCTCGATGCCTTATGAGTTGTGATCTGGATTTGAGTTGCAAGAACTGCGAGCATTGGATATTGAGGGTGAAGGGACTAAATCCACCAGGAGCTGGTATAATGGGATCTGGCAATCTGATGGTGGAAGATGCAGTGGCAAAATTTGCACCATGCGAGAAGTTGGTCCCAATTGAATCCAGATATGCGCTTAGAAAGGGGTGACCAAGACTCTTGGCTAAACCACAAGTTTTATCAGACAACAATTTAAAGAGGAAAAAAGAAAAAGAAGCATGTTGCCAGTTTGCAACCAATGTGGGAAATAATTGGGATGATTTTAAGTCTGATTTTTCCCTTCAAATTTTTAAAAAGTTTGGTCATGGATATAGAGAGTTTTAAGTACTTAGGCCAAAAAATTTGATCGATTTAGGTCGATCATCAAGTCATGACATTTGACAAACATGTGTAAAGATCATATCGCAAATTGTGATTCGCAATCGCATGTAAGTAGGAATGGTTGTTTACAGAGAATGAGAGCCAAACATACACAGAAGAACAAAGATGATATACATTTTCCTTAAATAAAAAGAAAAATATACATACCAAGAAAATCGATTATGAGCCTGCCATCTGAGAATCTTCCCGCCGGCGTATGAAAATGGGTTTTCCCAAAAGGTGGTGGTGGTCGATAAATGGCCGCAGCCATTCCACCAGTATCCGAATTTGAGTCTCCAAAGTTAAAGATTGCTGGAAAGTGACAGTCTTCCAAAGCCAAGGCAGGGCTCAAAGTGGTGATATAATGTGACAAAAGCATATAAGAGCAGAAAAGAGAAATGATAACTTTGACAGTAATTCTGGGAGACTCCATGGTGGAGAAAAATAAAATACCAAAGATGTGATGTTGCAGATGAGAATTAAGGACATCCAAGAGTATGTTTGTTTTTATATGGTGCAAGGAAGGTGGAATTTTCGATTGTATTTGCAGAAAGGCAAATGCCAAAGGACATATTTCAGCATTTTATGCGTGGGTTTGCATTGTCCAACCTAGAAAAGCAGAATTTAATCTGGATTTCAAATGTTAAATAATGTCTATAAGATGAAACTGTAAAGTGTGACAGCAAGAGTATATATGTATGAGAGAAGTTGTGGTGTAGGGACCGCCGCATACAATGGCGACTCAAGGGGTACTCCCTGCATTTGGGCCTCATGTGAGAGTTTGTTGTATGCGGCAGCCTCTACGCAAGAATCACTGCATCTTTGGTCGGTTTGTATTTTTTTGGTTGATTTGTACACATTAAAATGTGTAATATTTTTTATTTATTCAGCAAACTCTTATGTATGATTGAGTAATTTCAGACTCTCACAGTGGTTAAATCTGTAAATCCACCAAGTTTGGCACCTCACCAACCCACTTTTCTCATTGGTACATTTTAAACCCGAAACAGAAAAGAAGATCAACTCAAGCTCTTCCCATGTGTGTTTAATTGCCAAAGACATGAACAAGATTATGGTAATAGTTCGGAAATGAGATAAAATCTGACATATTAAGGGGCCAGCAATGATATCTTCTAACAAACTTCGCTTAATCATTCAAAGCACTTCAAAAATTCCACACCATAATTCCTCCAATGCTGAACAAACTTTTTTATATACAAGTAATTTTCTAAATAAATATAGTAAAACACAAAACTGCAATCCAATCAATACAGAGAACAACCTCATACATAGGAGTGTTGCAGAAGCAAATGTTCAGCGGCTGTTGCTGCAGGTGCTTCTTTAGCATGAAGGAAAATACAAACTAGGCCTGCTCAGATATGTCAACCGAAAATCGGAGTGTCGCATTCTTCAGAATTTGAAGGCTGCAAAGATCGAATTCTAACATCATATTTTCTGCATTTCGAAAGTTCACGGCCTGAGGATGAATCCGATCCATCTAATACTAGTGGGAAAGAAGATGAAGTATAATCATCATAAGCATTTCCTATATGTTTACCACACTTGCGACAAAGCAGTTTAGTTCTCCGGCTGAACAAACCCCAAGACCGCTTAGAGAAATGGGGTTTACATTGAAGTTCATCAACCTGCGTAAATCTGCTGTCATCGATTTGAAAGAATGATATAATCCCTCGCTTTATAGATTTCCCATACTTGTTAGAGCCAATGGTAGAAGTGTTCCGGTTGTTGGAGCTTAGGTTTAGCTCATAGCCACAAGATCCACAGCTGCATGAGAAAAACCATTTATGTAACATGTTCTATAAAACCATCCAAAATGAAGCCAACTAAATTGAAAATGACCCATAGAGCTCAGATAGTAGAAGCTAGTTTAAAACATCTATATTCCTGTAACATTTAAAACAAAATTTTTGCTACTCTCAGCATTTCTGAGTTATTCAATTTGATCATGAACAACAAGGTCTTAGAACTCTGTTTTGGCTTGAAGTAGGCTGAGGCTAGTGGCATAGTGCTCTACCACTATAACAAAACTTCAAGTACTGAAACTGATGATAAATATTTGCATCCCACTCTTTCCTACAAGATGCAGTCTCAAGGAACTGTAATTTATTTGTCAACAACAGCAAGAAAGAAAGTCAATTTAGATTTACCCTTTTCTTCCAATCAATACCATTTTCGGGAATTTTGATGATGACCCTTTTCATAGATCTCAAAAGATTTTCTCATTTGCTTAATCAATTAATCCTAAAAAAGGGTTTCTGGGCCCAAACACTCATCAAGCACAAATACATCCTACAGATTCTTTCATTTTTCTCATTCTCTTATTATCAAGTAAAAATTAATGACAATTAAATCCACACCCAGATATCAAAGATTCAATTTTTATCTTCATGTAAACAAATTAATTACAAAAACATAAAAACCCCATTTTTATATAAGCAAGTCTGATTTCAGAGAGAGAGAGATTGAACCTGTAATTGACATCTGCGCGAGAAGAAGAAAGGGAAGGATGGTAAGCTCCATTCAGGTAACTGCCTCTCAATCCATTCGATTTCTCCATCCTAGACGCTGAAATCAACGGCTACGATGGTGACGGTGACGGTGACGGTGACTTTTCTGAAAATTGGACCTTTTTTGTTTGGAAATTACAGTTGTGGGAACAGAGAGCGACGAAGGTGGATAAGAACTAGTTGGTGACGAACGTGCCCCGGCTGATTCGGGTGAGTTTAATTAACCGCCAATAGTGGCAGTTTGAGCTCGGATTGAATCCAATACGACGCAGTTTTGAAGACTAAAATTATGTCGCAGAGAAGACGAAGACGAAGACGAAGAGGAGAGAAGAAAGCTGAGAGGAATCAATTACAGAGTAAATAGACTCTGTTTGCTATTCTCTCTCTCCATGAATAATTTTTATTTGTGCTGACGTGGAGCTCAACGGCAATAAGGAGCTTCTTTTTTATTAAGTATTATTTATTTATTTATTTTAAAATCTAGGATAATCTAGTCACCAAATAATATGAACAGTGGATTTTTGCCAGAAGATCATGAGAAACGACATTAATTAAATTGAAATGTCAAATAGATTTGTGTAATTTACGTTATGCTTGTCCTTATTTTAAGTCTTGGACGGGGAATTTTTGTGTTTGTTTGGCTGTCATCCCTTTTTGTAAAGGCTCGATGACTATGATAACCAATTGCTTTGATAATGAATTTGCCTTTTTCCAACTTTTTTTTAAATCCCAAAATTCATTGCCATTGGACTACCTCAATAAAGAGAAAAGAATCAAAGAGTAGATCAAGTTATGAGTTATCATTTCAGTGTAAATATAAACATGTAAATGAACTAAAATTAGCTAGTGTAATGATCTCATTTTCTTGTAGGCCATGTTTGGTGACCGAGATTGGATTGAATTATGAGGTAGAATTAGATTGCATTGGATTGTATTTAATTGAAAATGATACACTAATTAGGCCACACATGTTGGGCAAATGTGATCAGGCTCCTCAATGAGGTCCCGAGTTCGATCCTCTGCATGTGTAACGAACTTCTTGGGGAGAGTGTTTTCTTAATCTGTGCCCGCTCGGAGAGGTGACACTCATGCCACCTTTTTTGTAACCAAAAAATGATAACACTAATCCAATGATATGTTTGGTACCACACATGATTATGGGGTTAGATTAATTGAAATGTGCTATTACATGGCTTAGTAGGATAAGACATAATCCAATATATGTTGTTTTTAAGCCACCAAATATTTGACTATATGAATCCTATCCAACTACATAATCCAATTTACCAAACGAATGATAAAATAAAAGTCATAAACAATTAAAAATTACTAGCTGTTTCACACGCATTTTTTATCTTAATCGCAATTTTTTAATTTATTTTGTGTCGGTATATGATTTTTTTCATGCTCACACATCATAAAGAGAAAGTGTGTGAACTAGGCTAAGGCCAAGGCATAACTTTATAATAATAGAGATTATGTGTCCACATAAATGAGAAAGTGATAAGAAACTTCAACTTAATAAATAAAAATAATAATATGGCACAAATTAACAAAAGGCAAGGGTAGATGAATATGCAAAATTCTTATGAATATGTGTTTGTGGGTGTACAGTCACTCAAAGAACGTGACATATCTGAATCAAAATAATAAAAATGAAAATAAAGAAAGAAAGAATGCTAATTTTACGAGGGTTTACTATATCTAAAATATACACAACTATATGATGTGAACAATTGCAATGAACATCCGTGTATATGCAGGCAATCGCACGGCAAATATATGTTGCGATTGCCACTGTCACAATTTTTTTTTTTTTTTTTTTTTTTTTTTTTTTTTTTTTTTTTTTTGATTGTTGACATTCAAGATTTCTTCAACAATTTCTTCTTTTTTTCTTTTTTCTTTTTTCTTTTCTTTTGGTAGTCATTGTAAGTCCCATATGACGGGGAAAAAGTGTGTTTCACAAATAGGCTCTTTCTAACATGACATTTTATATAAAAACTCTTAGAGCGACTATTTGGTGAATAAATCATCGACCAGCAGTTGTCATTTTCTAATTAATTCTTAGTATGTTGGACTTGAAGGATTTTTCATATAATAAAATGTCATGTTAGAATATGTCTATTTGTGAAAAGCTATAAACTAAATAAATAAAAAATTCATGACATGAAAATTAGAGAAGGAAGAGAGAGTATTATCTCATACATGATTGAAATAAGTTGTTTTTTATGAGCTTCACAAGCCTCTATTCTTCCTCACCCTCATCTGTGACAAATTTACCAGTCCCAGGATTCAAAGCAGCAATGAAGAAGAAGACAACATTGAGCAACACAAGGGGTTCAATTTCATTAATGGGGACCCCAGTCTCAATGTTTAACTGTGCTAGAGCTCCCTTCCCTGTGATGATTTCTCCTATTAGAGAGAATGCAAATCCCAATTGTGCCAATCTTCCTACAAATAGCTCATTTGCCTTTGTGAATCCAAATAGAGGACCTATATATATAAGACAACAAAAATTCATTAGTAAGATGTTCTCTTGTCAAACGTGTTATGTTCTAAAAATATCAATATGAGTCATTGATTAGAGTTTTGTATGAACTTGTGTTCGAACTTGACCTTTTGACAACATAATACGTCACAAAGGCCATTACTCTAATTTGAACATTAATGTAGAGTTGCAAAGTGGTTACCTCCTTCCTTGAGACCTAAGGCTGATCTAAATCCTTTGCCTGGACGGATGACTGCCCCTTCAATTCCAGTGGGCGGGTCATCAACGAAGCTACCACGGTCACCTAGGGCTCCAATGGCTCCAAGCAGGGTAAAAAGGATGAAGAAGAGAAGGAGAGGTTCGGCTTCATAGATCGGAACTCCAGTTTCCAGATTCAGTTGTGCAAGAATTCCTTTCCCTGTAACTGCTTCTCCCAACAATGATGCCTGCAATGTTTGCAAATAAAGGCTCATAACAAAAGAAGAAAAAAATAAAGTAAAATTTCAAGCTTCTTCTTATTCTTATCACACATGACTATAGCCCATTATTTTGTATGTATATGTTATTTGAATGGCTTATTTATGATGTGAAATCACTTTATTTTTATTTGGACCTTATCTTAAGCTTTCGGCCATTCATGCCAATTATGCCTCTGCCTGGCAAATTGTTGTGAATATGTTTCATTCAAAGAACGTTGAACAAAGTTTTTAAATCTCATGCTCATTATTCTATGAGTGTTTTCTATATATATAATGTATCTATACTATTTACTGAAGTAGTATGAAATATTTTTTTTTTTTTTTTTTTTTTTTTTTTTTTTTTTTTTTTTGTAATATTGTTTTTTTGATATTGATATTGTTTGAGAAGTATTGAGATATTGATGAAACTAAAAAGCTATAAAAACTAGTTGAGGTGGCTTTTGGCTTGTGTTTGCTCACTTTTCAATTTAATTTTGTGTGGGTTTAATAGATTTAGTACTGATTCTAAAGCAAAACAAGCTATATTGGGAAGAATTCAATAATGAAATACTGCTTAATGTCTTGCGCAATTCTTTAGAAAGGAGATAGGTTGATAAAGTGAGAGTTTTTTTTTAATTCAATGATTTTTTGATTGTATGGTTATATATGTACTACTCTGTTTTTTCATAATAATGTAATTAGTGTTTTAATGTGATAAATTTTGAGCAGAAAAATGCAATTTTTGAAAGTAAATTTATTTAAGTACAGCCCACAATCCACATTCCGAAAACAACATTTAAGTATTTTTAGAGCCCACAGCTCAATCAGTTTTGAAATTTTAGCTCATTTAAAATTAAAGATTGAACAAGACATCTCAAACCAGAGAGTCGGAGATTTTGAACCAAAACCGGCCTTGAAAAAAATTTGTGCAGAAATTGTCTCAACTTTATATTAGCAATAAAATTAAGAAAATATAGAAAATTACTTATAAATGACAAAGAAGACTAGAAACAGAACAAAGACAGCAATAAGAAGAAGATTTTCTCACAGCAAAGCCAATCATGGCAACCCGACCCACAAAGAGCTCATTCTGCTTTGTGAAACCAATGCCTCCAGAGGTTCCAAAGATACCATCTTCAACCTTCGGCTTCGGCGGTGATGCCTGCTCAATTTAGTAAAAACAAAAAACGAAACCAAATCAAACAAATGTATATAAGTCATGTCTTGGTTACAAACAAAAACAAAGCACTACGAGAAATATTTATTTTAAAAAAAATGAAAACCTTCTTGACAGGGGCTTTGGTTTTTGACTTGAAGAGCGCGACCACGGTAGGAATGGCAGGAGATGATGAGGAGGCAAAAGAAGAGGATGAAGGAAGTGGTCTGAACACAAGTTCAGAGAAAGACTTGGGCCTAAGTCTTTGCACTTGTAATTGAAGTAAAGGGTCTGAGGACTTCAAATCCACCGCATGTCTTGAAGACACACTGCTAGACATGAGCAACATTGTTTGAGCCATGGCTTTGGTTTTTTCTTTCTTTAAATTGATTTTGTTGAGAAGCTTATCTTTGTTGCTCACAGTCCTTTTTTAAGGAGGGAGAGTGGTGGAGGTGTGTGTGTGTGTGAGAGAGCTTGTAGTTCTAACATTCAATCATAAGAGATGTGGATATGGTGTGTGAGTAATTTGATGGGCAATTAGAGTGCCCACGTCTGTGTACTTTGTGATGCTGATAATGTTGGAGCCTACCTCTGTATGGCTTCAACAAATTGCATAATAGCACTCAAATTGACACATGTAACCTTTCAACAGGTTCAATTGAGAGGCTTCAAAACCTTCAACAACACAGCATAACAACAGAATATTCAATGCAACTGTTGCAAGTGTAGCCCTGTTACAACCTTTGTTTTTAAGTTATCACAATTCGACACTTACACATAAATAACTTAAAACAAACCAAAAGAAAAGTTATGTCCTAGATTAAACTAGTGTAGAGTTTTTATGGCTCTCCAACATGACTTGAGCCTTGTGTAATTTAGGACTCTAGTCAAGACAAGACATGATAGTTCGTTGTAGTTTCATGTGACCCGAACATAAGTTACAACAATATAACTTTTTTATTTTCCCAATAATTACAGAAATTTAATATAAAATTTACGTGAAATGCTAGAGTTGGAGGAAGGGGGCACGGCCGACTAGAATTGAGGTCAGCATAGGGGGATGATTTGATTAAACCTAAACAAGGTTAATTAATCGGGTTGTCTCCTTTATGCATGAAATGAATCTACAACCAAGATGCATATGGGGATATTTACAAAAACATACATGCCATCACTTGGAACTTTGTGTAGGGTCACATTCAAACCTCAGTTGTATGAGTAAGTCCACACAAGTGTTGGAGATGTAAACCACACACACACACTCACTAGAATGCCTACAAAAAGACAAGTTGGGTATAAAAAGTATCTAAAACAGACAGATCTTGTTTGAACACATCGATGAACAAGCATCCTTGATATTTCAGGGTTTTTGTTGGCACAATATAAACCGCAGTAATCTTTGCGCAATTTTTATTTTTCTGAAAGAAAAAAAAAAGGACATGTACAGTACGTACAAAATCAATAGAAGAGCATCTATGCAAGCCCAGTTGAGCACCTTTTTTTTTTATGGGAAAGTTTTGCATTTGGGCTTTCATTTTGTATGCTTGTTCATTTGGGCCTGGTAATGAAAGATTTTTTTTCTTTTTTTTGTTGATTATATCGGAATGAATCAAATCTAGACTTATCTTAATTCTACTAACCCACCTTAATTTTCTTTTAAAGCTTAGATTTCCTAATTTCCTAATTCACTTCACTTCTATTCAATTAACTCCAACAATAGCATACATGCAAGTCTTTAAAGACCTTCTTTAACACCTGAAAAAAAAGAAAAAGAAAAAAAAGACCACCTTTAACATAACCATTAAACCCACTAACTTACTTTAATACTTGCTCATAAATAAATAAAACTCTTCATTCACACCACAATGCATTTACTTATTTAATACGAGAATGGTAAAATACTATAAATATAAAACCTAATAAATCATGGAAACTTGTGAAAATTTCTTGAATATGTAATAATTATGCAGATTTGGTTTAGATCTAGAATTCAACATACACCCAGTGACTTGGGCATCTTCAACAGCATATTCAATAATTTTGGAAAGCTAAAATAGGTGAGCAACATCATCAAAACTCTCTCCAACAAACTTATTAAACTCAGTACAAAAAATGCAACTATTTATCTCTCTTCAAAACTAAAAAGTTGACTTTGGCTCTTCAAAACATTTAATTTTACTTTAGAAGAACGAAACCTACATCAAAAAATTTATCACACCTACACTAATCAATTTGCTCAATTTATAGGTTCAATATAGAAATGGGGCTGCAGTTTGCATTAACACATGAAGACCAACATAACTTGAGATTACTTCTTTTATACAGGGTTACACTTATGTAAAAGGAAGAGATGCTTCACACACAACTTTTCAACAATATACTTTACACAAAAATTCTAGCTCTTTCATAAAAGACCAATTTATTTGTTTTATTACTATGCCAAGCCTTTTTGGCATTGACTGTCAGTCAACTTAGTATTTTACCATTTTACCCTTATTATATTAATTTGTAGTCCTTTAGCACTTGGTTAATCAAGAGTATATATTTTTTAATTTTTTGAATGTTTTACAATTCTTTGCCTTTTGCTTTATATATTTAAATTAAAAGTAAGTGGGTTGGTTTAATGGTTATGTTAAAGAAGACCTAAGTAATTAGGGAGAAAAACTTCCCTGGCATGGGGATGCCAGGATAAGCAATCCAACTAAGTATCCCGGTCTAATGATCTCTTGACAGCTGTCACCCATTAAAATTGAAAGAAAAATTGGTTGCCTATGCTCCTCATCCTATGTGAACCCAGCAACTGAAACCCCTTTTCTTTCTCATATCTCCTTCTTTTTCTCTCTCTTTTTGCATCACCCCTCCTTTCTCGGAGTGCAACCCAAACCCCCTATCTCTCTCTATTGTAACTTGCTCTCTGCTCTCCCTATTGTTGAGGCCCAAAAAATCCACAGTTGGGCCCGAATATATTCTCGGCCCAAAACGATATATTATTGAGAAAATATATGATTTGGATCACACGAAAGTCCGCCATGCACGAGTCACACTCCACGTGCCATGCTAAATAAATAATCCGTCATGCTAGGAATCAAGATTAAGATTATAAAATGCATTAGCTCTACAAATCCATGCTAATTATCCCATCAAGCATCACAATTAAAAACATGTCAAGCGACATGCCATGCCAAGCAAGAAATCGTTATTTCGCACCCAACCACGCTACAAGCCTAAGCAGGCTCAAGCCGCTCAAATACCCGGGACTTGCTCGAGTAGGTTGTGGCATGGATGGTAATAAATCAACATGAGGCCCATTGATGGGCCGAGAAATGGAAGTCTCGGGTCGCTTGGGAGCCTCGGGACTCAAGCCTATTTCTTAGGCCCAAACACATGGGTGAGCACAAAAGGGAAAATAACCCAACCAAAAATAAGCCCAATCAAAATAGCCTATTGACTCAACCAAAAAGCTCAAACGTTTTAAATATCCCACTTACTTAAGGAACCACCTTGGCCCATACAAAACTCCAAAATAAGCCACAAAAGCCTCAGCCCCTTGCTAGAAAAATAGAAGCCACGAAGAGGGAGGTCTGAAGATTTATTGAAAAAAACTGCTGGAGGTTCCAGCACATGGGGGGAGCAAGTTCCAAGCAAGAAACATTCAAGGAACCAAAGAATATTAGCCTGCGAGCTGCCAGAAGCACCCTTTGAACCAGCATGTGTATCCACTTCCTTTCCTTCATCAGATCTAGCCAAGGAAGGAGGAAGGAAAGAAGAAGAAAAATAGCTAAGAATGGAGCCTCCCACTGGAATAGCCGCGGGAAAGGGGCCTTGAGCTCCCAAAGTTCCTGATTTTGTCCTAATAGACAGAGGAAATTTCACCAAGATAGGAAAAGCTAAGGGAGGAGAAGAGAAATGAAGGGAAAAGCTTAGCCAAAATGGGTAGAAACCATTAGGGTTTCTTGGGAAGTGATGATTTCCAGTAGCTTAAAATTAGGCATCTTCTACCCAACGAAACCAACCCAGATTCAGAGAGCAAGCTTTCTCTTTAACTTGCAAAAACCCAGCAATCCCGTGCATTGTTCACCCTCTTCTCCATTCTTCTCTTATGGCAAACAGAGTATCTGTCAAGCTGCCGGAAGAGCATTGTTCTTCATTTCTCTCTTCCTAGCCAAATCTCCTACAAATCTCTCCTTTCTCACCTTAACACTTCCCTTTTTCCCCCCTAAGAAAGCCTAAATTTCCCCTCAGTGCTAAACTCATGTTGATTTTGCTTCCATGCCACATGTCTCTCATGCCAAGCTCAAAGGTTTATTTGTAAGCATGCAAAAATTACCTGTAAGTTGCTATTGTTTTGGCTGGTGAAGGTAACCAAAATACTTCCTAAGGCTCTGCTGCCCTTTCGAAGTATTTTTGGGGCTTAATTTTCGAACTCAGACAAAGGGGACAATTTCAGCAATCTGCCATTTACGACAGCCCAACCCATTTACAGCTGCCGGAAGAAAAAGTCCCATACACCTATCTGTCTCTCACTTTGCATCAGCCACATCTGAGATTGCCAAGAAGAGATAGAAAGAGAGGGATAGATTGGCCTCAAAAATTGATGTCAATCACCTCAAGTTTGGAGTTTGGCAAGCTCGCCGCCACTACCAATGCCATTGTTGTTGGCATGAAGAGAAAGAACATGAAGAGAAAGAACGAGAGGGAGAGATGAGATAAAGATGAGAAGAGATAGATAACATCAATGATGGAGGAGGGGATGGGGACAAAAAGGATGGAGGATGACGGTGTCAAATTTGGCGCTGATGCTGACGGATGTGGCTCGGAGCGGAGAAAGGAGGGGCGATGCAAAAAGAGAGAGAAAAAGAGGGAGATATGAGAGAGAAATGGGGTTTCAGTTGCTGGGTTCGCAAAGGCAACAAATTATTATTTTTAAAATATTAGTGGGTGACAGCTGTCGAATGGTCATTAGATATGGATATTTAGCTAGATTGCTTACTCTAGCATCCCCATGTAAGGGAAGTTTTTCTCCCTAATTACTTGGGTCTTCTTTAACATAACCATTAAACCAACCCACTTACTTTTAATTTAAATATATAAAACAAAACGTAGAGAATGGTAAAACATTCAAAAAATCAAAAAATATATACACTTGATTAACCAAGTGCTAAAGGATTACAAATTAATATAATAGGGGTAAAATGGTAAAATACTAAGTTGACTGACAGTCAATACCAAAAAGGCTTGGCATAGTAATAAAACAAATAAACCAGTCTTTTATGAAAGAGCTAGAATTTTTATGTAGAGTTTGTTGTTGAAAAGTTGTGTGCCTTTGGCGGTGAAGTATACCCCATATAAAAGAAGTAATCTCTTGATTAGATCATGGTCAGAATCGGATCACAATCAATTAAACCCAAATATCTAATTGATTGTCTTCACCGCCAAACCGAGAATATCCACTTGATTTAGGTAATTATCAATTAAATAATAACTTCTTTATATTAGTCATTTGACTGGCTCAGATATTCAATAAATATATACTAAAGCCAAAGCTATGACTTGGTCCAATATGACTCTAATATTAATTATGTAAAAAGAAGGCACAAACACCCAGTTTCTCTAATGATTTAACAAGAATATTACTCTTTCGTTTGTCTTTTTTATTTTTATTTTTAAATATAGCAGCTTAACAAGAACAAAAGAATGAACGCATTTCTACCATGTCATACCAATAACAAATAAATATGTTGAAGAAATTAAACAAGTCCATAAAAATAATCCAATGTCTGAAACAAAAGTCTATACAAATACAAGATTGTCTATAATAGATGTCTTTCAAAGTTAGATGTGGAATTCTTAGCAGTGCGTTTGGATGATGAAATTTATAAATGATAGAATTTAAAATGACGAAAATTAATATTCTAAAATTTCTAGTTTGCGTAGCGTACTTAAACACATAATTTAACATTTATTTGTAAAGTTATCTTTTTTTAAAACTCAATCTCTTGAAATTTTATAAATAACGATGATTTGGATAGAATTTAAAGTTTGGATTTATCACCTCCAAATTTCAAGTTTTTTTCACGCGGAATTTCTAAATTTATACTTTTTTTAATTCAAACACATAAATTGGTTCATGTCAATTTAAAAATTCTGACTTTTGTCAAAATCTCAGGTTTATTTCTCTTATCTGAACACACCGTATAGAAGTCTATATAAATCCATGAAATCTGTCACTTAAAAGAAGTCTTTCAAAATCCTAGCATGACCCATAAAGGAAAATGACAAAACCCAATGACAGAACTCAATTAAAAATTGAGCTATATTAAAAAAAAAAAAAAAAAAAAACACACACACACACACACATACACACAGAGAAGAAAAAAGTTGATACAATGATAAGGACACTGCTTCCCTCATTCCCTAGAATAAGGCATTCTTATTGCCTATGAATTACAGTTTTACACATATTCAACAGTAATTTATCAAAAACACTTCGAAAGAAGTCTCTACACACATGTCACACTATGATTAGCATGAAATTAGGAGTTCATGTTTCCACGAAAGGAGTATTTTCCCAATGATAATGGAGATTGGGCCATGCTTCACCTTTGTTAACAGGCGAATTTGTACATAATGAATTAAGGCATTATCACACACATAACACAAGTGTTTGAGTGGTTCACCCATAATGGGGCTACATCCACTATAGTTTATAGCTTTATATTTGTATTTGAATGTGAAGATTACATTAATATGAGAGAGAGAGAGAGAGAGAGAGAGAGAGAGAGAGAGAGAGAGAGAGAGAGAGAGAGAGGAGAGAGAGAGAGAGAGAGAGAGAGAGAGAGAGAGAGAGAAATAGAGAGCTTGGGAGAGCTTTGGATAGCTCTTGGAGAAGTGGAGAGTGGCAGTCGATGGTCCTTTTGCTTGGAGGTAGTTAGCTCCTTTTCGTAGTCTAAGAGCATCTACAATCATGGTCCCTATTTTTTAGTTAAAATTTAGCTAAAAATACACAAAATTATTTTAGGAGCTCTCTATAAAATTTGAACTCCAATCATACTCTCTAGTTTGTGGGGTCATAAATACTATGATTTTTTTTGTAATTCAATATCAATACGATTGGTTCATCTCTACAAAATATATATATATATATATATATTAAGAGTTTAAACTATGCATAAAACAAAGCATCATTAAATTATAAGGAGCCATTATGAATCTTCTCGCTCTCCTCATATTTAGGAGTTCTTAGAGCACTTCTAGCAGTGCCAACAAAACTCGGGGGGGGGGGGGGGGGGGGGGGGGGGTGGCCCAAATCACATTTCCAACAACAAAAAATGGCCCAGGCAAATCGTGGGACCCAGCAGACTGGGCTAGCCCAAGGGTGAGGCGAGCCCGAGCGTTGGCCCGAGTTTTGCAATGACGTCAACGCTTTCCTTCAAAAAAAATTTAACGTTGGCGCGTGCTATAGTACCGCCAAAGGCTAGCTTCCACATGTCGGCATCAGGGCTCTCTGATAAGATTTTTTCCTCCAATCCAACGGCAGCCAATTTTTGTGCAATAAAAAAAATGAAAAAAAAAATTTTTTTTTTTTTTTTTTTTCTATTTATTTATAAATACCAACCAATACTCTTCACTTTTAACACCAAATCCTCATACATTTTCTCCTCATTCTACTATTATTCACTTTCTACTCAATATTTTTTTCACTTTCAAGTTTTATTTTTCTCTATCATATTATGGCTTCTTCTATTGAAACAGGAGGAGCATGGAGCGTCCCGTAACAGGCAATGAGATGAAAATTCTGTCATATGTGGAAAAAAATTCATACCAAATTTTGTGAAAGATCGGGGGGTTCGACCCGTACGGAAATGACATTATCTAGTAGTAGAAAATTCTCACTAAAGAGTTGGCGAAATAGAGAGATGCTTTAGCAAAAGCGATGGAGATCATCATAATTGCAAATATCATGCATGACTTTATTGAAAAAATAGGGTTGCATTCTATATCGCGCTAAAAAATAAACATCATAGTACAAAGAAGTTGGGATAAAATAATCTTCAAGAATATTCTTACCCTGAGAATGTCTATGTCTGTCCACATTCGGGCCACGACCTTCTTGTGAACCACGGCGGCTCTAGTTTTCTTCATCAAGCAAAGCCATTGCCATAACAAGTTGCTGATTTAGGTCTCTCTGCGCCCTTTTGCCTATAGCTCATCTACGCCTTCTCTCTCTAGTTTCTCGCTCTTGCCTCTCCAAAACCTCTTGCATGTCTACCATTTGAAAATGGAGAATTAAATCTAAAATCTGAGAAATAAAAATGTAGAGAAGATCTGGTGTGGGACGTATGAGCTAAGCCTCTGGTTTTATAGAAAAATTTAGGCATATAGAGATGACACGTGGCGCAATTTTAGAGGGTGAAAATCTTATTTGAAATTTGAAATTTGAAATGTATTTGAAATTTGAAGTTTGAAATTTATCTAAATTTTGAATTTTGAAATTTGAAACCGAAAATCTTATTCGATTATGAGATATGAATAGTATTGACACATAGGAACCCGAAAATATTATCAAAATTAATTGTTTATGTAAAAAAAGTTGTGAAAAAAATAAAAAAATGAATAGTATTTGTCATGGCAAAGGGCAACTGCTGGAAACACACATTGTTTTTTGTAAGGGCAGCTACTATTCATGTGAATAGTAGCTTTCTTAGTCCCCCCTGCCATGGCAATGGGCAAACTGCTGGAAGTGCTCTTAGAGGTTTCCTTATTTTATGAGGTAGATAGGAAGGATGGTTGGAGTTATATTTTTCCAATCATCCCTAAAATTTATCTAATGAGATAATTTAGGGAGCTGATTATAAATAATAATAATATAATAAGTAAATTTAGGTTTTAGCCATAAAAAAAACTTTCACTTTTAGAAAAAGCCAAAGCTTTTTCAAAGAAGACGGAAAAATCTCTCAACTTTCAAATCAAAGACATGCAAATGTAAATGATTCCTTAGGAAATCCAAAAATAAATAAGGGCAATTTTGTCCATTTTGATTTCTTTTAAAAAATTTCTCTCTACTTTGAGCTTTTCCAAAGTCTCCACATGGGTCTCCTTGATTTAAGGCTTTTGCATGGCTATATCCTTAGTTTGGGGTCTTGGATATGGAGAAAGCATGTGAGAGCTCTGGCTCCCCACTTCTTGATTGGTGGCATGTGATATATGACTGACATGGGTATCCCTTGATTGGTGGGATTTGCTATGGGGAGGTGAGGTCAATGGTGCCTCTTTGGGATGAACCTCAGGTCTTCATCTCCTCACTTTTGCGGTGGGAAGGGAGGGTCAAATAAGTAGACCATCCTTCGCTCCAATATAATATAGCCAACTTAATTTGCGTGTTGACTACTTTGCGTGGACTCTGGTGAAGACCAGCCTTTCCTTCTGATACTTCTGGAATTTGGTTGGCCATTGTTGGCTTTTAATATCATCGTCACTCATTTCGACCTCAAATTTATTGCTCATGGCTAATTCTTCTAACTCAAACTCAAATAGTAAGTAGATCAATTAAAGTAGCAGCAAAAATTAGCAACTCTGAAACTGGAAGGAAAGCAAAGTAGCTAGCCGACATGGCCGCCTCCTCAAAGCAACAAAGCACTTCCAAAATGGGAAGTTTAGTGTTGATGTTTGTTTATCTTTTGTTCATCTCCCTTCCTCACCCATCAATGGCCCTATCCTCCTGCAACGGCGCATGCGCAACCCACGACGACTGTGCTGGTCAGCTCAAATGCATCAACAGTAAGTGCAACGACCACCCTGATCTCAACGATTTCAGCCAAGGCGGGGACGGCAGAGGTGCAGCCAAGTGTGACGAGCAATACCATCTAAACATTCATGAGCGAGCCGTGGCACTTTCCATGGATAGGATTAACTGCAGCAAAGCTATTAACTGCGGTGGCATCGGAGGCATCTCGTACCCCTTTTGGGGAGTAAACCGAGCTAGTCACTGTGGTCTGCCCGGGTTCGAGGTCAAATGCCTAGACAATGTCCCCGTGATCAACATGTCGAATATCAACTATAGAATTCTTAAAACCAACTCCAGTAGGGTTCCTCCGTCTGTTACAGTTGCTAGGCAGGACTATTGGAAAACTGTTTGTCCTCCTACTTTTGTTAATACCAGCATCAACTCCTCTCTGTTTAATTATACTTCCTCTGGGTTTACAAACCTGACCTTTTACTACGGGTGCAATACAAGTACAAGTAACACTACTTCTACTTCCCAAGTTTGCAGTAGAAACAAAATTTCATATGTGACACCACTCTTTCTGTCTAATTATACTTCCTCTGCGTTAACAAAGGTGTCCGCCCAGTGCAATAGCACAACAAATAGTTCCCAAATTTTCTGTAATGCCAGCGCTAGTATGAATGTTTCGTCTGTCACACCAAGTCCCCCCAGCTGATACAGTTGCTCCCGTCGCCTGTAAAAATCAGGTCATTGTTCCGGTTTCTAGAACAGCTGCTGTGGCTCTAAAGGCCAACCGAACAACTATCCAAGACGCGGTAGATGGGGGCTTTGAATTGGAATTGAAAGTCCGTACTGATATATGCAACACTTGCGTGGAATCAGGAGGGATGTGCGGTCTTAACACTACTTCTGGTGGGTTCAATTGCTTTTGCCAGGATCGGGCCTATGAAACCAGATGTAATCCAACTATTTCAAATCAACCACCCAGACCAAAAGGTAGTATGTCTGTCCTTTGTCATTTTTCTTATAAATTACAGACTACTAGGAAGAAGATGTTATAAGTCTTTTATGTCATTTGTTAGAAATTAGGAGTTGTGTGAGTAATGCTCTGATACCATTGTTGGAAGACTATGGAGTCCATGTTAAAGTAGGAAGAGTTCATGGTAATTAGAGCCAACTATCTGCAGAAACAGAAAATAGAAACTGCTGAACCTCACAGATATACAAGGTTAAACCCTTATGAGTGTTCATGGTCATTTTGATCCTTCGGTACATGCATCAAATTGGAAGTCTTGATGGTGCCAGTCAACATTTTATGGACTTCAACACTCTGCAGTAATATATGCTCCAAGCAGCCTAAGAAATACACCTACCTTTGTTGACTTTGATAATTCGATGAAACATCACAAAATACTTGAGTTTGTAGTCTTGGCGTCATAACTGGATATTGAAGAAGAATATGATATACCATCCGAAGAAATCTTATGATTTAACCTTTTTTCTGTGCGCAGGTTCAAAGGCTAAATATGAAATAGGTGCGTATATATGATAAATATATATTAAGTACCACAAGTTTCAATCTTCGCTTTCTTTCACATATCAATAAAATGCATAACTTGAAGAATTGTTCAATATAGGCATTCCGGCTGGTGTTTCGGGGATCCTCATAATCATTGCTTGTATTGTATGCAAATCAAGGAAAAGAATATTGGGTTTCTTCAAGAAGGATATAACGGATGAGTTTGATGTTGAGGAATTTATAAGGAACTATGAATGCCTTGCTCCAAAACGGTATAGTTATGCAAATGTCAAGAAAATGACAGACTCTTTCAAAGATAAAATAGGTAAAGGTGGATTTGGAACCGTGTACAAAGGCAGGCTGCCGGATGGCCTCGTCGTGGCGGTGAAAGTCCTAAGCGAGTCCAAGGGTAATGCAGAAGACTTTATTAATGAAGTTGCTAGCATTGGTAGAACCTCCCATGTCAACATTGTCACTCTTTCTGGATTCTGTTATGAGAGGAAGGACAAAAGAGCTTTGATATATGAATTCATGCATAATGGATCTCTAGATAATTTCATACATAAACGGGGATCTGAAACAGAAAATTGTCGCTTAGAATGGAAAACACTATCTGAAATTGCTGTTGGCATTGCTCGAGGACTAGAATACTTACACCGTGGATGTAACACGAGAATTCTGCATCTTGACATCAAGCCACAGAACATTCTTTTGGACACAAATTTTTGCCCAAAAATCGCTGATTTCGGCCTTGCCAAACTATGCAAAACGAAGGAGAGTATTGTATCCATGATGGGGACAAGAGGAACTGCAGGATACATTGCACCAGAAGTGTTTAGCCGGAACTTTGGAGGCGTGTCTCACAAATCTGATGTTTACAGCTACGGCATGTTGGTTCTTGAAATGGTTGGAGCAAGAAATTTGGATTCGGGAGTATCTCATACCAGTGAAATGTTTCCGCATTACGTTTATAGAGAACTAGAGCTAGACAATGATGAGAATGTTTTTGGGGCAATCACAGAGGAGGAAAAAGAAATAGCAAGAAAGATGGTATTAATAAGTCTCTGGTGCATTCAGACCAATCCTTCTGATCGGCCATCAATGAGCAAAGTAGTAGAGATGTTCGAAGGACCCCTTCATTCCTTGCAAATTGCACCCAAGCCTTTATTGTTTGCTCCTACAACTGCTGCAGCGCAAGGCTCTATGACCGCATCCCAACAATCTGAAATAGAAGATATCTCTGGTAATTAGGAAATTCTAGCTGAATTGTAAGAAAATTACCTTTGTTATCTTAAATGAAACAGCTTTCACCATCGTTCCGAAAACTGGCAATGACTGCCATCCAATCCAAGTGTACTATGTATTCTATGGCCAAACTTGGTTTTCTTTCATGGCTCAGATCTTTTTCAAGTTTGCTTCCAACCAGTCGGTTTGTCTTTTTCTGGATGTGCCAGCTAACGTTTTGTTTGTTTTTTTTTTTTATATTTTATACCTTTCTAAAATTAAAAGATAATATACTAAACACATATATTAGATGGATGTTAGCACTCGAATTCAGACTTAAGAGAGTAATTGTTCAAAATCACTATACTAGTGGCACCTTTGCTTGTGTTTTGCACTTTTTTTTTATAATGTTACATAATTTTTATTTTTCCGAAAAAAAATAAAGAAAGACATGTTACAAAATCAATAGAAGAGCATCTACTGTGCCCTAGGTTCCTACTTGTTTTGGTGGGCTCTGGACCTACCAATAGAACGAGAACCTTACAAGCCCAGCTGAGCACTCCTTTTTTTTTTCTTTTTTTTTTTTTTTTTTTTTATAGTGGTGATTATTGAATTTTTTTTGTATTTGTTTTTTATTTTAATGTTAGTTATATCGCAATGAATCCAAATATTCATCTATTTTTTTAGTACAAAGCGATAGTTTAAATTAGAGATGAGGGGAATTTTTTACATGCACAAAGCTATGATGTCGTGGGAATTCGAACCCTGAGACCTTTAGTCTGCAAATCAATGTTATTTTTCATTGGGCTAGACCTCATTGACAAATATAGATTCATCTTAATTCTACTAACCCACTCCCTTTTTATTATATATACCATATTATCCTCATTTAATTAATAATTTCAATTCTTTATGTTTGAATTAACCAATGACATTTTCTGGTATTTTGAATGTTTTACCATTCTCTTCCTTTTGCTTTATATATATAGATTTTAAGATTAGATTTCCTGTAATTTCTTAATTCACGTCACTTCTATTCAATTAACTTCAGTTGTTCCAGGACAGGGCCTTCTTTATCATAATAACCATTAAACACACTAACTCATACTAATAATCTTGTTCAAATCTCCAATTTCCATAGTTAATTTTGTGAAACACGAATCTAATATCCTTGGATTTTAAGAGATCTAAAGGCTTATAAGCAAGTTTCTCCCTTTTGATTTATGCAAGTTCATTTCCTGTTAAAAGTTTGGAATTTTTGAATTACATGACGATTTTTTTTTTTTTTTTTTTTATAAAAAAAACATATATCAGTGACAGATTTACTCTTTCGAAGATGCAATTGTGTTCCATGGGTTACGTTGGACAAAAGAAGAGATGGAAGAGAAGGTTTCGCTTCTCCTTCAAAGAGTGGGAAAGAGAAAAATAGTTTTCCTGGTTGGATTTGGAATTGGCGGATTTTAGTCGGTTTTGCAGCATATAAATAATTGAGTATATATAGCTGCTTTGGTAATTCTAGATTGCAAAGTCGTGAATGAAAAACTGGGGATTTTCATTAGCTACTGGTTCCTGTGCCTCTTATTCTGCAGTTTATGTTTATTTGATTACCCTGTAATATTTAAGAAGACGGCAAATTAATAAGAAGGGTATGTTCCATGCCGAAACGAAAGGCTAAGCGTTCCAAATGGACATATGGGAAACGCAAAAAACTTCCAATCAATTTGGGTGACAAGGGAGAGACTTATTCAGAGGTAGATCGGATTAGTCAGCTGCCTGACGCCATTCTGATTAGTATTCTTTCCCTACTGAGCATTAGGGAGGCAGCAAGAACTTGTTTCCTCTCTAAGAGGTGGATCTATGTGTGGAAACAGGTTACATGTCTCAACTTCGACGACATAGATGCATTATATAAACCGTCGAAGAAAATAGGACAAACAACACCCAGTTACAAGTGGGTGAACCAAGTCCTGCAATTGCACCAGTGTCCATCCTTGGATGCATTCAGAATTTGTTCTTCCTCGACCTATATCGGGCCTAGTAGTTCTGAAATTGACAATTGGATTGAGTTCGCAATGCAGAAGAGAGTTCAAAGGCTTGAGATGGATTTGGAAGTAGGTAGACTTTCTTCTTTTTCTTATGCCAGTTATATCTTTCCAGATAAGCCATTTAGAAGCCCTTTCGGCGTTTCCTGCATCAAGTCCCTTAAACACCTCTCCTTGTCATTTGTAAACATAACCGGAGAACTTGTTGAGCACTTTCTATCGAATTGTGAACTCCTTGAGCATCTTTGCGTTTCTTGCTCGGATCAATTAGTAACTTTGAAAGTTGCCGGTTCGTCACTCCGGTTGAAGTTCCTACAAATAAGTGACTGCATGTGTTTAGAAAAAATTGAGATTTGTGCTCCTAATCTCGTGTCATTTATTTATCACGGAATGCTGGGTTTTTATGACAGTATTCGTTTGAGGCATGCACCCTTGCTTGTAAACGTATCTCTTGCAGAAAGTACTAGGTCTATAGTTCCAACTTTTCTTTCGGTTAAAAGTTGTCTTCCTCAGCTGGTGACTCTCAATCTCAACTTGCACATGAATCTGAATATGGTCAGTATATGAAATAATTCAGTATTTATTATATATGTATATATATAGACTTTATTTTCAAAATTTGCTTTTCATCTTTCAGAGTGCAATGGTGAGGCAACCAGAATTTCCAGAATTAACTTGTCTCAAGGACTTAACATTGAATGTTGTCGCAAGTGATCGGCAAAGCCTCCTTAATTTGACTAAATTGATAGAGCGGTCTCCTTTCTTGCATAGATTTACATTGGAGGTAAATTTATTTTCAGCATATCTTACAATTTCAAGTTGGGAAGTTTATTTAACGGTTTCAGAAAGGTTTTTGTTGATTCATGTTTATGCACACAAACTTCTAAAAGTTGTATTGTTTTTCTGTGGTTGTTGAAAACTTGTATATGCGGAATTAACTTGTCTAAGGTAGATTGATAAGCTATTGTTTTTGTCCTTGTGCAGCTAAGATGGGAACGAGTGCCATGTCTGAGGAATATGCAGAAGGTTAATAGATGTCCTCATCAGTGCCTTAAGGTGGTGAAATTTTCTGGGTTCGTTGGGTCTAGTATCGACACTGAGCTTGCCATGTACTTCACTGAGAATGCCGTTGCGCTTGAAATGTTTATCGTCGATCTCAGAAAGGTTGTCGTTGAAGAATCCACTCTATTGTCTGAATTTGTTACAACCCAAAAACAATTGAAGGCAGCAAGAAAGCGTGCTTTGCAGATTGGTAAAAAACTACCTCCAGGAGCTGAGTTAATTGTTTTGTAATTTCACTTGTTTAAAATCCTCTGCTACAGACGTGATACACTTTTTGCAGCATGTAATTTGCTACTATTAATTCCTGACATTTTCCGAAATTGAAATAATGTTTGTGTGGTGAACAAGGATGACAGTTTAGGTACTTGATTGATCTCTTCCAATATGTAGATTCTTGAATGAGTTGGAGACAAAATGAAAAAGGACATGTGATTCGCATGGTCTTGTTTTTCCTTTTTCCATATGTATTTTGAAACCTCGACACTTACGTATGTATTTTCCAGAATACAATAATATATTCTGTATGCAAAAAAAAATAATAATAATGCAAATGACAAAATGAAAAATAAATAACTTCAATAAGATTTGGCAAGTGAGCCAAATTTGGTCAGAGAGAGAGAGAGAGAGGTAGGTGAACATGATTGACTATAAATGTAGCAAAACGCAAGTCTCCTTAGCTACAATAGTAGTTGTCAAACGTAGCCATGAAGGTATATGCATTACTTTTTCGTAATTATGCCTTGTAATGATAATGAGGTTAAGATTTAAGAGGATGCTGCTGTTTGGAATGCACTAGTGCTCCTCGATTTAGACCTGTTCTTCCTGGTTTCCAGAGATACGAGAAGTGGCACAGATATCGAGATATGATCTCGCAAAGCAAGTTGACAGCTTGATCAGACCCCTAAATCCCTCGAGGCGGAAACTACATATTCATCACTTATCCAAACCAGTGCACATTGTTTGCGCTTCCGTTGTCTTGTTGCAGTGTATGGGGGAGACTGTTACTTGAATTTCCCTTTTATTTTCTTTTCTAGGCTAGCAACGGAGGAAGGCAAGTTCGGCAATATTCAGCTTGCAGCCTTCTCTCTCAATCTCCGCAATCAACTACATCAGCCTAACTGTTGTGCTATAGGAAAGACAAGCAGATGCCGAACGAAACTAGACCAGGACCTGAATCATCTATGCAGAAGAATAATTCAAAGCTCTTGGCGCTTGCTTGTATTGTGTACCATTTTTGTTTTTTGTTTTGTTTTTTATTGAATTATGTTCCCTGAATCTTGAAAGGAACTTGCATATTCAAATACTGTAATGTCAACAACGAAGTGTGACATTATCTCATAAATGAGACAATCTGTCCAGCGGATGGCTCGTTGTTAATGTCCAACGGTTTTCATGCGTCATTGCATCCTAGATTCTGAGTTTCTTTGCCTCCTGTCAATTGTACATAACAAGCTGAATAAAGTAATATTAAGAAGAGTTGGTACACACACAATGCCAACGCTCTGGCTCTACAGAAATTTCCATTAACAAAATGAAAAGTAAAAACAAAACAAAACATTCACTCTCTACAGAGATCGATCATTCCAGAATTCATTAGCTGCACCATATGCTTAATGGCTGCATACTTCGCACTCATGCGTGGACTAGATCAAAAGCCAAAATACGAAGGTTTAACAACTTGTGACTAGGGAGTAGTGCTAGTACAATTATGAATGTAGCTTTCAACAAATGATCCATTGATGCCCCATATGACAAGGTAACATAAAAACAAACAACAAACTAGACAACTACAAGATGCATCCTAGCTCGCTAATCCAACATACACAAGGGTACAGTAAGTATGGACCAGTCTTCTAATTAAAAGTACAGAACTGAGTAAGTTTAATCAATTATGCAATGAGAGTCTCCAAACAAGAATCCCTGAACACTCAGCGACTCCACCATGCCGTTCCCGAAATTAATTAAATCAAATCATGTTAAGACAAATGAGCAGCCTAGCATATTTATGCTGCAAGGAAACAATTTATAAGTGCTTATGCATGCCACACACGCATCTGGAAGGCAACAAAGAGGGTATGTGACAATTTAGTAACTTACAACAAAAATAAGGAATGGGATGCTACATCTAGTTAGCCAGCTACATAGCACATACAAATGTGTTTTGATCAAGGAACAGGATGCAATAAGTCAGCTGATACTAGGTGCTGCAAATTTCTACCCAAGAGAAGTAGTGCATCTACAGCTACTCAGGATGCCACAACAATCTCGTCTCGAAGTGCAAGTATCACTTTGTAATTCCAGCCGATTACGAGTCCGGGAAGCAATTGGACAATCCTTTTGACAAGGATAATTACTTTTTTAAATATTGAACACACCTCTTACATGGGTTGCTCCACAACAACGGGATCGACCACCTCATATGTATCAATGAGATTAATAGGGGTTCTGCTTTCATCACTGGTCGAGACATCATGCATCTATAAGGTTTACTTTGCCTTTATTTTCAGGCGAGGTAATTATCGTTTTTATATTAGTTGTTTCATATTTTTGTTATATATAAAACATATGAATTGAATTTGATTTTGTGATTTATAGGAAAATAACTGCATGTGATGAAGCATGTAAAGCATTTAGGCATATCACATTGATAGACGGTCTCCGTGAGTCGTGTGAGGGGGCCATGGAGACTAGGTTGTTGTTTAGTGTGGCTTTTGGTAGTAACTGGTTTGGGAGGTTGGGACACACATTTCTACGTGGAAGCTATGGGGTGTCGAGAGGTACCTACACAACTGCTATTGAGTCCCTTGAGTCTCTTCCGTTGACTGAGGTTGAAGAAATTGTAGAAAAATACAAGAAGATGTGCCTTACTCCCCTAGAGTGCATGAGAGATTTATTATCTTTCATGCTGCAGATGAGGTGTGGCGCGAGAGGCCGAAAGAGAACGGATCTAAATAAAGATTTGTGGACGGTGTATGATGAGGTTTTAATGAGGAGGAAAATAAAGTTTTTTGGACGTGAATTTTCCTCCTCATTAAAACCTCATCATACACCGTCCACAAATCTTTATTTAGATCCGTTCTCTTTCGGCCTCTCGCGCCACACCTCATCTGCAGCATGAAAGATAATAAATCTCTCATGCACTCTAGGGGAGTAAGGCACATCTTCTTGTATTTTTCTACAATTTCTTCAACCTCAGTCAACGGAAGAGACTCAAGGGACTCAATAGCAGTTGTGTAGGTACCTCTCGACACCCCATAGCTTCCACGTAGAAATGTGTGTCCCAACCTCCCAAACCAGTTACTACCAAAAGCCACACTAAACAACAACCTAGTCTCCATGGCCCCCTCACACGACTCACGGAGACCGTCTATCAATGTGATATGCCTAAATGCTTTACATGCTTCATCACATGCAGTTATTTTCCTATAAATCACAAAATCAAATTCAATTCATATGTTTTATATATAACAAAAATATGAAACAACAACTAATATAAAAACGATAATTACCTCGCCTGAAAATAAAGGCAAAGTAAACCTCATAGATGCATGATGTCTCGACCAGTGATGAAAGCAGAACCCCTATTAATCTCATTGATACATATGAGGTGGCCGATCCCGTTGTTGTGGAGCAACCCATGTAAGAGGTGTGTCCAATATTTGAAAAAATAATCATCCTTGTCAAAAGAATCGTCCAATTGCACCTCGAACTCGTAATCGGCTGGAATTACAAAATGATACTTGCACTTCGAGACGAGATTGTTGTTGCATCTTGAGTAGCTGCAGTAGATGCAGAACAAATGTTCTTCAGATTCATGTCTTGAATCATCCACTACCTCTTTGAGAATGAAGAGTGGAACTATCCTCTTAACACATCCTTCCTTCTGAACCAACTTCCCATTTCCATACATGCCCTTCTTGGACAACATCAGAGTCAGCCATGAAAGCCTTAACATTTTCCATGAATGAACCTAACAAGGGTTTTTGGATGACACTTTTAGACTTGAAATTGGAATTGTCGAAGTTGATATGTGAAATTTGGGTAGTCATTCTCCTGAACAAAACCACATGAAAAAAAAAAACACAACTAAATCAAATAGCAAATTATAAATGAGAAGTCATAATACATGAGCAATATAAACTGACTCACTAAATAAACCACATGAAAACAAATGAGCAGTTTTTTGCAACTGGTAATTTTGCAACATACTTGTTCAGGTGGAATTTCATGTGTCCCCAGGTCTCAATTTTCAAACTATTGATGATGGTGAACTCACTAACTTGCCATTACTTAAGCACTTTTCTGGATCAAAAGGCAAAATAATATAATGAGACTAAACCAACTTTAATTTTTTATGGTTGTGGGGAGCAAAATCAATTCCCAAACAGGTGAACAATCATGAAGTTTCACTGATAGAGATGCGACACCAGAAACACAAAAGCTAGCAACACATGTATTTTACAAAATTAATTTTAAAAAAAGGTAATTCCATTCCATTAGTGCTAAACCTGCCATGTAATTTTGTTTATCCAAATAAGGTTAAAACAGAGCACTTAACCATGTGAAATAAAAGTCCTTGCACATCCCAAAAAACTAAGGAAAAAGAAAACCAGGGTTGAAATTCTGGATGAAACTGACATGAAAAAGATTGGATAAAGAATATCCCTCCTCTTCATATCGCTCTCAACTAGCTAGTAGCTAGCTAGACAACAATCTACAAAAGGAAATTTGAAATAAACAGTAGCAACGAATCTAAAGATAGATATATAGCAAAGAGAAATCAAACGTTACTGCACTCTAATTACTTTGGTCTCATAATCAGAACATCATGGTAAAACATCACATTAAGCGTGATAGCAACTGTTTTAATGGTTTTAATAATCTGATTAGTAACGTCAGGATTTTTTTTTTATATCTCACACGCCAGTAGAGAGTTATATGCGCTCAGAGCTGCGGCTTGCATAGGGACGCCAGCAATAAATACCAACAAATTCACACAAAAATACTCCCAAATATGTATGCTTTGCTCAAAAGTAATGACAGAGAAAGTAAAAGAACATACTCTATTTAAATCCGTGCATTTTGTGAGATTACTGAGAGAAAAAGAACTCAGAAAAGCAAAAAATTGAACTAGAGCTTAAACCAAAAGAAAGAAACAACCAAAAGAAGAAGGGAACTAGGGTTTAGAAGCCCAAATCTGAAAATCAATAAATATACTAGCTAAATAAATACTTCACAACATGAAACATTAGCTAGAAGGCAAGTTGAAATGTTTAGAATCAAATGTAAAAATTGATCAAAAAGGAAGGTACCTAGAGAAAGAAGCTCCAGTTTCTCCAAAGAGAGTGTGAGACCAGAGGAGGTTAGATTTTCTCCAAAGAGGTGTGAGACCAGAGCAGGTTAGTTTAGGAGGAAGCTGTGGAGTGATATGAGAAATGATTTTTGTATATTCCTGTGTTTTATTGTTTTAAAAAATAAAAATTAATACAAAATGATACAATAGGGGTATAAAACGGAGTGCGAAAACGTTTATTGTTTTTAAGAAATTTATAAAACTCGGGGGCCGGAAAAGAGAAAGAAAAAACCCATTACAGGTCCATGAAGACAATCTGACCAGAATCAGCCCAGATTAAACAGAAAACAAAAGCCCCAAAATGGAACAAAAAAACACACACACAAAATAGAAAGGCTCTAGCCCAAGCTCACTAAAAATAAATAAATATTATATCTTGTTTGGTGGGCTGGACTGGACTGATTAGGATTGGGCTTGGAGTGTTGGACTGGTTAGGATTGGATTGGGTTGGACTAAGTTGGGCTAGACTGCACTGGACTAAGGTCCAGTCCATTGTTTGGTACAAGTATGGGCCCGACTGCATTGGACTTCAAACAAAATTTATTTTTAAAATTTATTAAAATAATTTAGTATCAGAAATAATTAAATTTAATTAAAAAAACATGTACACAAAATTAAATTTTATTTTTCATAGTACCATGCTGTCAAAGCATATATGACAGTTATTAACATCATGGATGCACACAAACATTGTTTCTCTAACTCTACTGCAACTAGAGTTGTCACAATCTTCCTCTTTCTCTTTCGAACCATGTCTACCCTACCATTAACAATATTGGCAAGAATAAAACCATAATCTGTGACTTTCTTTTTATACTCAAACATAAAAGTTGTTTCTCTAATTCTAACAGACGCAAGACAAGAATAACAAGCGGAAGGGAATCAAACCAAAAAAGAGAGGTAAACAGTGAACCACCCATGAAATTAACCAACAGAGGTACTCTGTTTGGTTGTCGTGAAACAATCAATGAAAAGGCAACAATTCACAGACCCAATACTAACCAAGGCCTCTTTCTGGGTAAAATGACAAAGTCCACAGCTGTCAAATCTATATCCTGTTATGTATTTACTTATTTAGTGAACAAAATAATAGTGATGATATTGGTGGAGAGGGGGCTAGTGATGATAAGCTGTTTATAGTTGTGAAACTAGTGATGAACCTGGTCAAATGGTTGTTTGGGATGGTCCAGTAGCTAGTATCTCCTCATTAAAGGCATATGGATATGGCATTGTGGAGAGTAATTGTGGCGAAATTTTCTTATTAACAGTAGTTTTTCAATGCCAAAGTAGTTACAGATGCAGAACTTCCTATTCCAAATACGTCTAACTAGAAAAGGTATTAACAAATTCTGCATTACTTTTGGTATTACAACTGAAAGCTTCAATTCACTTACATGTACAGCCAATAAGTTCTCACTTAGGACAAAAAATGTCTATGATCTCCTCAAATTCACAAACTCCAGCCCTCTAATAAAAACGAAAATGTAATAAGAAGATGAAGAAAAATGAAGGAAGCTTCTAAAAGAAAAACTTCCATTGTCCCCTTTACTCATTTTGATCAAACCTGGTGAAGAACGAAACCGCGTCTTCACAAAGAATTTATCATATATAACACTACCATTTATCTTATTACAAGACTGCTATCTTACTCTCGTAAAAAACACACAAACATATGCAAGGCATAATAGACTGCTACCTTTTTCAGCACTATCTGTCAAACTTTTCAATACCCAAAAATTAAAAGGCCAAAAACTCTCAAATTTTTCAATTTTGCATGTTCAGCAACCGAAACAGAGATTTACAAACTAGGAATTCCAATCCATGGCCAATTAAAAAAACCAAAATTTATCATCAAATCTTGCCTAATCAGAAAACCACCAGAAACCACAAAGTATACATATAATTTCTCATCAAATCTTGCCTATTTAGATTCTTTGTCAATCTAGTTTCTGCTTGAACATAAATAAATAACTACACCATTTCCTTTCTTCAACATAATAAGCATTTCAGAATTGAACCCACACAAATCATAAAAGGGGTCTACCTGATGCCAAATTCACCAAATTGAGATGGGTTTGTTTCTGACCTTGTCGTTCATCAGTGTTGATGGAGTCGGAGGCGTCGTTCATCAACCCATTAACCAAAATTAACAACAGAAAATAAATAAATAAAATTGAAGCCAAAAGGAGATAGAGAGGTGGAGAAAATCAGAGACAAAGATGAAGAAGAAAAGAAGACGATGAAAAGAAGAGGTGCTCTAAGCAACGAAAGGCGGACAAATGAGAATGACGGTATCTACATACCCAAACATCAAACATCCACATAAACCCGTGCTTTACAGATAAATTTGACAAATGAGAATGAGGGTATCTATATACCCAAACATCATCATTAGGTTAGGTTATGAGTGTGGCTGACGAGTTTGGCATTGCTTATTTGGGGTGATAAGTGATTTTTAAAAAATTTTGAGAAGACCAACCCGTTTGGTAAACTGCGAAAAAATCACTTATTGTTAAAAATTGCTGTGAGATAAAACTATAAGGGAAAGCAGCTAATGAGGTGCTTTCATTTTCTGATTATGCAAGAATCAGTTTCGAAGAGATGTTGGGTTTAATGATTATGCAGCAATCATTTTCTGATTATGCGTAAAATCAATACCAACAACACTTTTAACAAAAATTTTACCAAACGCCAAACTGCTTTCTCTCATAGCAAATCTGACAGCGATTATTTTCACAGCACAGCAATGCCAAACTGGCCTAATCTTTTCTTATGATAGGCCTGTTTTATTTCTTTCTTTTTTTTAGTATTCATGTGTTTCTGGCCGACCCGCTAGGCCTTTGTTTCTTTTTATCCTTCTTGGGCGGGCCTCTACTTGTAAGTTCTGTGTTTAATAAACGGACCGGACCCATCTCGTCCATCTGTGTAAGGGTTGGGTCTATTTAATTTTAAACCCAACACGTTTGAAATTCCCCTTTTACCCCTCCAAACAAAAACCACAGAAGTTGGTCTTCGGAGCCGTTGATGACCTTCCATTTCCCATTTCCCATTCCCCTTCGCGGCTAGAGGTTGGCGTTGCAGATATGCCGCGGCTGTCCACCCCTCAAATAAGTAAGTTTTTCCCTTTCGATTTGCGTAACTTCATTTCCTGTTATAAGTTTGGAATTTTGAGTTACATGACGATTTTCAATCAAATTCGCCAGCTTTTTCGTATTTGAAATCAAAATACCTATCAGTGTCAGATTTACTCTTTCAAAAGCGCAATTATGTTCCATGGCTTACATCCAAAATTATCTTTAGATGTTGTAGTTGTACCAAATAAGTAGAAAAGGTTCCGCTTCTCCTTCAAAAAGAGGGAAATAGAATGTAGTTTCCCAGTTGGACTTGGATTTGGATTTGGTGGATTTTAGTCGGTTTGCTGCCTATAAATAATAGGGTAGCTGCTTTGGTAATTCTAGATTTCAAAGTTTTAAATGAAAAGCAGGGGCTTTTAATCAGCTATTGGCTCCCTCCCTGCTTTTTTATTTACACAGAATCAAATACAAGTGTGATTTTATAAACGTTGTTGTGAATGAAAAACACCAGCACCAGCTTTTAATCTGCAGTCTTGTCTTCTTTTCTTTGTTTTAAGGTTTCACTAGCTTAGATTATTTGTATTCACGAACCCAACTTTTTCGCCGCCTTCGTTTATTATAGATGATCGCTTCTTTTCATCTGTTTGATAGTTGGTTTTAGTAATAATCGGTTTGCTCCACTTCTGCAGCTTATTTGATTACATTGTAATATTTAAGAAGAGAGTAAATTAATAACAAGGGTGTTCCAACTTCCATGCCGAAAAGAAAGGCTAAGCATTCTGGATGGACATATGGGAAACGACAAAAGATTCCAATCAATTTGGGTGATAAGGAAGAGAATCATTCGGAGGAGGATCAGATCAGTCAGCTACCAGATGTCATTCTAATTAGCATTCTTTCCCTATTGGGTATTAGGGATGCAGCAAGAACTTGTGTCCTCTCTAAGAGGTGGGTCTCTCTGTGGAAACAGATTACGTGTCTCAACTTCGATGATATAGATGCATTATCCAAACCACAGAAGAAAAGAAGGCAACGAGTGAAAATAACATCTAGTTACAATTGGGTGAATCAAGTCTTGCAATTGCACCATGGTCCATCCTTAGATGAATTCAAAATTCGTTCTTCCTCACTCGATTGCAGTCCTAGTAGTTCTGAAATCAACAATTGGATTGAATTTGCAATGTGGAGGAGAGTTAAAGGCCTTGAGATAGATTTGGAAGCAGGCAGACGGTCTCGTTTTTCTTCTCCCAGTTATACCTTTCCAGATAAGCCATTTAGAAGCCCTTTTGGTATTTCCTGCATCAAGTCCCTTAAACACCTCTCTTTGTCCTTTGTAAATATAACCGGCGAACTTGTTGAGCATTTTCTATCCTATTGTGAACTCCTTGAGCATCTCTCCGTTTCTTGCTCAGATCAATTAGTAAATTTTAAAGTTGCTGGTTCATCACTCCGGTTGAAGTTCCTACAAATAAGTGAGTGTACGTCTTTAGGATTAGTTGAGATTTGGGCTCCTAATCTCGTGTCATTTATTTATAAGGGAATGTTGGGTTTTTGTGACTGTATTCGTTTGAGGCATGCACCCTTGCTTGTTAATGTATCTCTTGCAGAAAGTACTAGGTCTATAATTGCACCTTTTCTTTCGGTTAAAAGTTGTATTCCTCAGCTGGTGACTCTCAACTTGCACATGAATATGAATTCGGTCAGTATTTGAAATAATTCAATATTTATTTATTTACATATATATATATTATTTTATTTTCCAAATTTTAACTTTAACTTTTCATCTTTCAGAGAGGAGGGGTGTGGCTCCCAGAATTTCCAGAATTTACTTGTCTCAAGGACTTATCAATGAGTGTTATCGCAACTGATCGGCTAAGCCTCCTTGCTTTGACTAAACTGATAGAGCGGTCTCCTTTCTTGCATAGATTTACATTGAAGGTAAATTTATTTTCAGTATATCTTAAAATTTTAGTAGTTGGGAAGTTTATATAATGGTTTGAGGACTGTGAAAGTGTAATTGATTTATGTGGAATTAACTTTCCAAGGTAGATTTGTAAGCTTTTGTTACGTCCTTGTGCAGTTAAGATGGGTACGTGACTCGTGTCAGAGGAATATGCAGAAGGTTAATAAATGTCCTCATCAGTGCCTTAAGGTGGTGAAATTTTCTGGGTTCGTTGGGTCTATTATCGACACTGAGCTTGCCACGTACTTCACTGAGAATGCCATTGCGCTTGAGACGTTTATCGTCGATCTCAAAAAGGTTGTCGTTGAAGAATCCACTCCATTGTCTGAATTTGTTACAACCCAGAAAAAAATGAGGGCAATAAGAAAGCGGGCCTTGCAGATTGGAGAAAAACTACCTCCAGGAGCTGAGTTAATTGTTTTGTGATTTCACTTGTTTTAGTCCTCTTTGCTACAGACTTTTTGCAGCATGTAATTTGCTACTATTTATTTCTGACATTTCCGAAATAATGTTTGTGTGGTGAACAAGGATGACAGTTTGGTACTTGATTGATTTCTTGCAATATGTAGATTCTTGAATGAGTTGGAGTTGGAGACAAAATGAGAAAGGACATGTCATTTGCATGGTGTTGTTTTCCTTTTTCTATATGTATTTTGAAACCTCGACACTTGCCTGCGTATTGTACAGAATACAATAATTAATATCTTTTGTATGCAAAAAAATAATAAAATCTTGATAATAAATAAGCATGAACTAAAACTATAGAAAATGTTCAAAATCCAAAATTTATAAGGCTTCGCCAAATTTTCTAACCAAAAAAAAAATTTGAGCCTCGAATTTCCTCCATGGGATCATGAAATCAGCCAAGAAGAAGATGTCCACGTCAAGCTCGGCTTCATGCTAAAGATTCCTTCACTATGCCTGTGGCGCAGTGACCAATACAAACAATATAGAACAGTGCTGAAAAGCCGGTTGGCGACAAGAAAATAGGACCCAGCTTCTCTGCAATATAGAATATTGCAACAAATTAACTTCATTGCAATTAAAATATTATTTTCAAAAATAAAAAAACTGCTGCTGCTACATTTTCTACAAATAATCAATCGCGATTATGGGCGGGAATAAGGGTAGATGGATTTCAAAATCCAGCCACACAATAAACAAATGAGAGAAAACCATTTTCAATTTTGAATAAAAGAAAAGCTGAAAAAGTGGATTTTGAGGTTTCTGCGCACTCTCTCCATCTTCACAGCTTGATATCCACAAACAAGCACATGCTCGTCTCTTTTTTCTTTTATATTTCCGAGTACCCAAAAAGGTAAAGTATAAAACAAGAAATAGAAACCCACATTATCTGCTACTTTTATTTGTTATCTGACATTCTACAGATTTTTTCAGTCTTATTTTATTGCTCCTCATTATTATGGTCTGTAATCTTAAGTCTCAAGTTTGAAGTTTGAAACCTACTTTCCATTTACTTCTTGTTATTACTGGGCTTCCATCTACTCTTTAGGTTGTTGGGGTCTCCTCCAGTCAAAGGTATTTGATCTGGGTTCTGCTCTTTTTAATCTTTCTTAGCTGAATTTTATATGCATCTGAATTCTGAGGGTTTCTGGGTAAGTGAGGAGGGTTCTGTGTCTTTTTGCATTGATGGGTTGCTGGTAAATGGGAGCTTTTGTGTTGGGTAATTTGGTTTCTTCCATTTCTTTTTGGGTATGTTCTGGTACAAGCACTGTTGTATTCATGCGAATTTTGTCTTTTGAAAGTGGATATTCTGCAACATTTCATCAATTTATCAATTGGGTAGTTTTGTTTTTGTGATTTAAAAAATGGGTCTTTGCTCTTTAGTGATTACACAACTTTATGGCATTTCAAAAGCACTTGATTGCGTTGGATGTGATGCTGGAGCTACAAATCCCTCCATCTTCAGAGCGAGCAAGTAAGTCTCTGTTTGGGTGTGTTATATATACTCTTATTCGTGCTCTTGAGCTATTCAGAGATCCATTTTGATTCTTATAATGTCGTAATATTTGTTGTTGGGGTAGATGGTTTTGGAGTGGATTTGAAGCAAAGCTGAGAGAATGATAAGCGAAGTCTTCTTTCTGTTTAAATGCTTGCGATTTGCTGGAAAGACATGGCTTTCTGTTTTTAAAAGGCTCGGCTATATTGGTTGGAGTTCCACTTTCCAGCAACAACCAATAAATTAGATATCTATTTATGCTTACTTCTTTTGTTTCCTGCAACTTTGAAGAGGATTTGTGGTGGGTTTTTGATGACTTGTCTGTAAAATTGTGATGTGTGTACAGATAAACATTCTGTGAAGTGCTAGTTGGGAAGTTGGACAATAGAACATTAAATGGATCGCAAGTGGTTGTGGAAAAAGAAGTCTTCTGAGAAGAGCTCTGGAGAAACTGACAGTTCAGGTTCAGTATCTTCACACTCTGAGAGGTACTCTGATGAACAGGTAGGTAGCTGAACCCTGACCACCACAAAATTTGAGTTAAATCTTACTTCTGCAAAGCTTGCACAAATTGTTCTCTGGGCAGTTAACTAAGTAATTTACCTAGAATGCTCTGCATTCACTTAAACTGATTTCCTCCCTATCTTTTTTTTTTTGTTTGGATTCCTTCGTTTCCGGTAAATTTTCATCTTTTGCGTGGAATTAATGGAATTTTGGAAATTTGACATTATACTTTCGTTTGCTATTACCACATATTTAGCCATCAAGGCATCAATCTTCCACATAAAGCAGTGCTTTACTGATGAATCTTTATGACCTTCAAAAGTTGAAAATTGCTTTTCAGTGGATGGTTACTCTTCTGTACATTTCTTTGTTGTCTGGAATAGACTGTCTATGACGTGAGGACGCAGATCAAGTACTCCTCATGCACATGTTGATTGATTTCCCGTCCTACATCTGTTTCTCATTTTGTAACATAACTTAATTTCCTAAAACATACGTGAGATGCGTCTATTTTGATTAATTGCCTAGAATGAGTAAGTGTTTTAATTAACTACAAGATCTGATTTGGCTATGTTGATTTGAAATTTGTGTTTGGCATTAGGAATTCATGTCTGCTTATGCAACCAAACAATTAAGTAGCATTTCCTGTTTGGGATACCCCTTCTCTGTTATCTTCTCTCCTGCTTCTTTAGTGTCTTCCTTGTCTTGATATGGTATCGACGTCATGTCTTAGCTCAAGTGGCAGAGACTTGATGTCAAATGAGTTTTATTGGTACTCAGAGGACACCCTACAGACACAGGCCCCTCAAAACTATATAATTACTGGTATTTGATGACATCTTACACACTCAAAAGAGAAACAAAGGGTATCTTGTAGTGTGGCTGTGTGCATGCATGCATAACAACAGCCACTTTGATTTAACCATTTATAAGATTTTAAGTTTTCATAATGTTTCGTATCACTCTAGATATTAAACAAATACTATTTCCTTTCCTCTTCTTAAGTTACCTTCGGGTGAATTTGCAAGCGCCTCTATTTGGTGTTGTTCATTTAATCTGAACTATGATTTTATGCATGTTTAACTTGAGTATTATTTCTTATGTTATCATTGTAGCAGGAAGCACTTAAGGCATCTCCTAATCATGACACTCAATCACCCGAAGTCACATCAAAAGCTGCATCCAATGCTGAAGATGTTAATGATAGTGTGAAGAGTCTAACAGAGAGATTATCAGCTGCTCTTGTGAATGTTAGTGCCAAAGAAGACTTGGTGAAGCAGCATGCCAAAGTTGCTGAAGAAGCGGTTGCAGGTAATAGTGTGTAGCAATATTTTGACATATAACATGCCAACTCTGCTAATTGTTTTCAAATTTCTAAACATGAAGAACAGCTCTCTGAAACCCTTGTGTCTTGTCTCCTGTACAAGGAATGGTTTTGTCCGCATAATGATGAGGATGAGATTTACAGATTTGTGAAATTTCTAAGTGCAATGGTTTTGTACACATAATGTTTCCAAATTGAAGAGATAATGTGAAGTGGGACGTCTAGGATAATTTTAGCCAAATCTCAACCACAATTCTATATTTCTAATGATTGTTATAATGTTGTCACCTTTTTATATATAAAAGCGATCTAGTTTTGATGTCAACGTAGGCTGGGAAAAGGCTGAAAATGAGGTGACCGTTTTTAAGCTAGAACTTGAAGCTACAATGCAGCAAAACTCAGCCCTGGAAGATCGGGTAAGCCATCTTGATGGGGCCCTCAAGGAATGTGTAAGGCAGCTTAGACAAGCAAGAGAGGAGCAGGAACAAGCCATACAGGAAGCTGTGGTGAAGAAAACCCGTGATTGGGAGTCTACCAAATTAAAGCTTGAAAGTCAAATTATTGAGCTCCAGAGAAAAGCGGAAGCTAATAGATCTGAAGTTTCTGCTTTTGTGGATCCTCATCTTTCTCATAAGCTTCAATCTTTGGAAAAAGAAAACTCAGCCCTTAAGCTTGAGCTACTGTCTCAAGCAGAGGAGTTGGAAATCAGGACAATTGAGACGGACTTAAGTACTCAAGCAGCTGAAACAGCCAGTAAGCAACACTTGGAGAGTATAAGGAAGGTTGCAAAGCTTGAAGCTGAGTGCCGGAGGCTAAAAGCTTTGGGTTGCAAAATACCTTTAGTTCATGATCATAAATCCAGTGCTGCTTCCTCAATTTATGTGGAGTCTTGCATGGATAGTCAGTCGGACAGTGGAGAACGGCTAAACATGATGGAGATAGATTCTCAAAAGATGAATGGCTCAGAGCCAAACAAGCGTGACCTGAATTTCTCTGACTCGTGGGCGTCAGCCCTGGTTGCTGAGCTTGATCAATTCAAGAATGAAAAGGCTGTTAACAGAAATTTGCCGGCCTCTTCTGTTGATATTGATCTCATGGATGATTTTCTTGAGATGGAACGACTTGCTTCATTGCCACAGACTGAGATTGGAACTAGTTGCCTAGAATCAGAAGCCATAATTAATCAGTCCAATAATGAAGAAAGTGCCTTGAGAGCTGAACTTGAAGCCATGAGTCTTCGGACAGCTGAATTAGAGGATAAGTTAGAAAATTTGGAAGTAGAGAAAGAAAAGTTGGAGGTAGAGAAAGCTGAACTTGAAGCTATGAGTCATCGAACAGCCGAACTAGAGCACAAGTTAGAAAAGTTGGAAGTGGAGAAAGAAAAGCTGGAATTAGAGAAAGCTGAACTACGAACTGCTTTAGCCAAAAGTCAAGAATGTTTTGAGGCAGTAGAGTTTCAGCTAAAAGAAGCAGAAATGAAGTTGGAGGAGTTACAAAAGGAGCTAAATAGTGCAAGAGAATCAAAACAGACTATTGAGTCTCAGCTGATTAGCATGGAAGCAGAGGCGCGGACCATGTCTGCTAAGGTTAATTTCTTAGAAGCAGAGGTTCAAAGGGAGAGGACTTTATCAGCAGAAATTGCTGTCAAATGTCAAAGTTTAGAGGAAGAGCTATCAAGAAAAAATGAAGAAGTCAATCTTCAGAAAAATGCTTGCTCAAATGGTGAATTGAAGATAAAGCAGGTTGGTGATCAAAGACTGAAACCATCTACATTACATGTCTAAATTTTGATTATTCAAATCATTCATCAAGTTAAAACAAAAATAATATAAAATTTAATGTGGTATTGCCACTAATTTTCCAGGAAGACCTAGCTGTAGCTGCTGGAAAGCTTGCCGAGTGTCAGAAGACAATAGCATCTCTTGGGAATCAACTGAAATCTCTAGCAACACTAGAAGATTTCCTGATTGACACTGCAAACATACCAGGGTTCTCTGCTGTTGCACCACAGATACCTAAAGCTGATGACCAGTGGAAGTTTCATTCCAATGTGACATTTTCACCTAAAAGAGATTCTGTGTCAAAACCAACCGATGAGAGTTGTGGTCCTTCAGTAAATAGAAATGAGGATACTTCACCACCATCTTCATCTTCATCAACCTCATCTACTGTATTGTCAACTCATGTCAGTTCTGAGAAGAATCGAAACGGGTTCGCAAAGTTCTTCTCTCGAACTAAGAGTGGGATACGACTAGAAATTTAGCCAAGATTCATTCTTTAGAAGAGAAAAACAATAGATATAATTGATTTTATGGGTTTGTATTACAGAGAATTTAGTGCTTGAGTGTATTTTAAAGGTTGCTAATTAAATGCTGATTAATTGGCACATTTTGTTTTCAAATGAACAGTAATTGATCAAGCTCTGAATGTCCACAGATTTGCCCTAAAATGCTCTTCTTCCTGTTTCGGTGCCACGCATTTTCTAAAATTGTTGGTGAAGTATATTTCTAAGGGAATTCCAATTTGGAATATCAGCTCTTTCCTTTTTGGGGAGCATACAAGTTTTGGAATACGCAGGAAGAACTGATGATTGAAGATTGTCGTAACTGGTTTGCCCCTTAACTAATAAACACAGGAAGAACTGCAAACTAAAAAAGCTTATAAGAGTTGGGAGTTTTGGATCTGAAATGAAGAGAAGAATGCTATTTTATTATGTAAGAAAAAATAAACAAAGATAGAGGTGGAGAAAACTTCACACAGAAAATAGGTGGAAAAAAATATATATTGGGGTGAGAGAGGCTCGAACTCTCGACCTCAGGATAACTCAGAAGCTATGAGACCTACGCGCTAGCCAACTGCGCCACCACCCCTCGTTGATTACTTATCGGACAAATAAAATATATAAAACATTAACAATTAATTTCTAAACCCGCTAAACCGTCGTCGACATTTGTCGGAGTGAATTTTGAACTACACTGATAGCATTTGAAAACGACAAATAATTGGCACACACGTGTGTAACATACTTCCCTTGCTATGAGGCACTAATGATTATGAATATATAAGACATGTGCAGCATAATTCTCAAATGGGTTCTATGGTGTAGTGGTTAGCACTCTGGACTTTGAATCCAGCGACCTGGGTTCGACTCCCGGTAGGACCTCTTTTTTAAATTCCTATATTTTTTTAACCATGAAACAGAAATGGACACCTAAAAGCATGTAGAATTTTCTTAAGAAAGTAAATATCAAGGGAAACAAACCATGCCTTCATATACTCTCGCTCGCATAATTTACACTGTTGATTTCTCACATGAATAACTCATTCTTTTCGTCAACAACCATTTATGTGCAAAATCAATGAAATAAACAACACAAACAAAATTCCGACCCAAAAAAAAACCAACACAAACGAAAAAGATCTGTAACTATTTTTTGGCCTTTACTTTGTCACTCATGATGACTATTAGTATTCTGAGGATTCCTCTCTCTCTTGAAAGCATGGAAGAGATCGATGCCAAGAAAGGCATTCAGAAAGTTCATTCCGAACATCCCAAACAATGCAAGTGGCAGCTCAATGCCCTTTCCGAATTTGGGAGCATCCCAGATGAGCTTGGCAGTGATGAGAAGGTGAGCTCCAGCCCTTGCTACAATGTAGGTGACCAGATTAAGAACCCATTCTGCCATTACAATTTTGCTCTTGGCATCACGAACACCTGCCATCCGCCGCACTTTCCTCACGTGCAGAAAGATAGAATGCAGCTGTCAACAGAAATAGAAATATCAGAATCAGTTTCATGTAGAATTCACATTAACAACAATTTAATGAAATACTGAACCGATCGGACTGACTGATCCAATTTCTCAGCGCTAGGAAATATTATCAGAAGAAGAAAAAGCAATTCACCAAGGGATAGAAAAGCTTTTAAGAAGATAGTACAACATACCTCACAAATGAGAGTGAGAATAAGGTAATTGATGGTCACATTCCGATACAAAGCAAGAGTAAAGCAAATGAGGAGTATCAGATGATGCATCAGGATGGAAGGGATCCAACCACTATATAATCCATAATGCAGCATATCCCACTGATCATATGCAAAGTAACCGCACGAAAAACACAAAGCTGGGTATGCCCATGGCCAAGTACCTCCAAACAACTGAGAGTGCTCAAACATGCCAATCGAACCATTTTTAACCACTGATTAGCCAAAATAAATATCACTGCAGAGACAAACAAGATCGAAGTTGCATCCCTTAACTTTACATTGGAATCAACAATGAAAGATGTGCTCAAGAAAGTTATAAAAACAATTAAGAAAAAACCAGCAAGTTAAAATATACTTGGATATGTATGTCCAAGGGTAAGCACCTTGATCTAAGCACCTTGATCTTTGATCTTACATTTAAAGGTTTCACAAGTTACCTATCGAAAGTTATGATCTTTTTAAGTTTTTCTTATTCTATACATATGCTTCGTTTTGTCCATTTCCCAAGATTCTACTCTTTTGGACATAAATCAAGGATAACATTGTAGGTTAGACTTTATATCACCCTTTCATCATAGCCAATCCAATCAAAGAAATAATAGTACCCGAACCACCCTGAATGCCAAGATGAGAGAAATGTAGGCGCATGGGCAACCTTAATCCCACCACCCTAAACTCCCCAACACACCTGGCTCTGCAATTTAGCATAAGATATCTTCATATCCTCCACTTCTACAAAGTACCAGTACCCATTTTAGCTCGGACAGTCTATGTTGCATTGCATAAAGACCATGTCTTTCAGAATGAGAGAACCAGAAAATAAACACACACACACACACAATGGGAAAGCTGGAACCAACAAATGGGAGCATGAGCTTTGCCACCTGGTAAGCTATGTGGCAAATGTAATGATTATCATTTCAACAATGGAGTTGGTACTTAGAGAAAACAGTCCCCAACAAAGTTAAAGTTTTAATTTCAGTACAAAGATTCCATTTTTGTTAAACCTATCACTAAACTCTATGCACAGAAAAAGACCATGAAACATACTCAAAAAACCCCAAAAAATATTCCCAAGAAAAAAGAACAGCTTGAAAAGAAAACAAACCTGAAGAGGAGGTTATGGTGGAGTGGAGCAGAGAAACAGATGTGTTGACAAAGAGAGGGTCGCGGGAGACGAAAGCGCGAACAACCCAGTTGGCCAATTGGTAAAAGAAACAGCCAGCGACTATGGAGAGCAGCTGCGAGCGCCTGTGGAACAGAATTTCGAACAAAACGGAGACGAACCAGAGCACAAGTGTGGCTAAGAAGAAAGGCCCTGCCTTTTCTTCCTTTTGAGCTCTCGTTCTACTCATTTTACTTTGTTTCCCTTTCTTTCTTACTTTCTGTTTCTCTCTACAATAAATCCATACTAAAGGGGCGCATAGGATGATGAGAGCGGTGGAGATATTTTTAGAGGGTTGTTCATCATGGTTAAAGCTGCGGCCTTGTTCATGGTGGATTTGATTCAATTCGTTAATTTGAAGTTATTTCTTGGTGGAAATTGAGTAAACTTTGACTGACTGTCTATCTGCGTGATTAGAGATTGCTTCCGTTACCCGCAATCATATCTTTAGGCCACTATAATAAAATAAAATAAACTTTGGGCAATGGGATGTCGGTTCAGATTTTTTGTTTTGTTTGTGTCCGTGTTAAATAAAAACCAGATATACAGGAAACAAGACCCCATGGGCAGATTGGTTTCCAGCCCAATAACAGAAAAACAATAGAATTGGTTGGAATTGGGCCGCCACTAAAAGCCCAAAATCCCTTTGGACGATGAAGACGAGTCATTCTATAGTAAGGGTCTTATATATGGCCCTTATGTGAGGTCATATCTCTTAATCGTTGAATCAGGCTAATCAATTTGATCCAACGATGATAAGGCCTCACCTAAGGGCCATCTATAAGACCCTCACTATAGAATTCTTACGATGAAGACCGGTTGCTAGTGCACCACCACACCAACAGTCGTACCACGATCACTGTCATTCGGCTTATCGATGGTCATTGAATACCCAAAATGGCAAATGGGGTTTGAGACTCATCTTGATCGCATACATTCTCATATTAACACTATCGTCGGTCCTTTACACAAGATACAACGATGAAGTGAGGCTATAATGAGAGGGAAAAGCCCATTGTGAAAATGAGCCCAACCCACTAAGCATGTCAAGTTCACTTTTCCCTTTTTCAATTTTTTTTTCATGTATTAATAATAAGATGCTACACTAAGCCATCAATCACAATTCACAACTATCAATGTCTTTGATCAAAATAATCACCATTGCCAATCAAATTTATCATAATGGATTAACGGATTATATTACAAAATGACCACATAGAAGAAAAGAGGCCTATCATCCACCTCACATGGCAAAACCCAACCCATTTCAAAAATCCAAATACGAGGAGAAAAACACACAAAACGGGGATAGATAAAGATATCTTGGTCATCCGAACTGGCAAGATATAAGGGCCCCACTCATGCCAGATACTCACAGACACAAGCAAAGAGCATGTGGAAGCAGAGGTTGCCACGTGGGAGCCAAGCGTATCCACGTGGCATACCATGGGAGGCCAACTGAGATCGCGAGCTAGAGCAGCCACCCACTTATCAACAGAAATTTCCAACAATAAATTTGTGACTCCAAAATCATTTACGTTTCTCTCTCTCCCTAGCCATGAGTCTGTCAGCTTCAAACGCCATGACCATTGTTGCCACAGCTGCAGCTCTATCTTTGCCCATATCATTTTGTAGATCAACCAAGCTTAGCACCAAGAAGGTACGGATATATACACCACTTACTAATTTTTCAATAAATTTATCTGGGTTTTCTTAGATTTTTGGAACTTGTATATTAACACTTAACATGGTTGACTAGTTAGATGAAATGTGGCTTACTCTAGCGGTACATGCTTAATCTAGTGTGTAATAGGTACTTGGTGAGAAAGTATATAAACTTGGATAGGTTTCACCTTTAATTTTAGTGGGTACATGCTAAATTTGAAGTAGAATTTCAGTTGGGTTGGTTAAATTGTGGATTGAAACTAGCACTTAATACCAAATTAAAGATATATGATTTTTATGCTAATTATAAATATTTGTGGGCTCCTGCTAGTTCTTGATGTATCATCTTCTGTTATAGATGTAATAAAGTGTGAGCTGTTATATATAGTAGCTTAGATTGTTGGACTTGTTAAATTTCAGGGTGTGAAAGGAGGATTTCGGGTGTTTGCTGTATTTGGAGAGCAATCAGAGATAGAAAAGAAGAATGCTTGGAGTACACTCTTTGATGTGGAGGATCCCAGGTCCAAATTTCCACAAACTAAAGGGAAGTTCTTGGATGCAAATCTGGCCTTGGAAGTTGCTAGATATGATATACAATACTGTGATTGGCGGGCTCGACAAGATGTGCTCACAATCATGCTCCTCCATGAAAAGGTCAGAGTGCTAATCTGAGCAACTTCTTATATCTAGATGATGAGTTAAATTTCCTTTTTGATAGCATATTGACTGATTGAAACTTGACTCTAATTTCATTTTTATTTGGAACAATTCTGTGCTGAGCATTGAATTATAATTTTGTTGAAAAAATCTTTATTGTTTAAGTTTTTAAATGTTTCGTTGGGATTCTTACACTCAAATATGGCTGTGCAGGTTGTGGACGTTCTAAATCCTCTAGCCCGAGATTATAAGTCTATAGGTACCATCAAGAAGGAGCTTGCAGAGTTGCAAGAAGAGCTAGGACAGGCTCATAGACAGGTGTGTAAATTTAACACTTGAGGAGATAAAGTCTTGTAACTTGCATAACTTGAAATCACCTTCAATTTATCCTCCTTGAAAATTGAATAGTACTAGTAACAAAGACTGATTAATTATAGAGCATCCAACTGACCAGATGCTTACTTCTGAAATTTTAATCCATGAATTACTACAGGTTCATATATCTGAAGCAAGGGTTTCCACTGCTTTAGATAAATTGGCTTACATGGAAGAATTGGTGAATGACAAGCTGTTACAAGATAGAGCAACTACATATTCTGAGGAAGCATCCCCTTCTCCAAGCACTTCTACGCAATCTCTGGATACTGTAAAAAGGAGGCTGCCTCGAAAAGGGTTGAACATTTCAGGTCCAGTTCAACCCTACCATCCCCGATTGAAGAATTTTTGGTACCCTGTTGCCTTCTCCACTGACCTGAAAGATGATACCATGGTAGGCTAGTTCTTCAAGTTTTTTATTCATTTCTTGTGCATTAGCTACTAAAAGCATTAGTGTGGAAACAAGAAAAAGAATAAAAGTATAAAAGAGAGGAAGAAAATATTATCACTCTACTAACAGAGGGAAAGTCCCTCTTCAATTTTGTGTTGGGAAGGCATGATCCTCTTCATTTTTCTTTTGGAAAGGCATGGTCCTCTTCATATTAACAGCAAAGAAAAATTAGTTATGTTAGTTCCATAGGTTTTTGTTGGCTATATCATTAATTGATCATTATGGCGGTGTGGCATTATCTATTGGATTACACTTCTTCTGAGGAGTAGCTCTTTTATAGCATTTGTTGTCCAGTATTATTTAGTCTATTTGTGGATGTCTTCTAACAAGAGCCTTATCACTTTTGCTTTTCAGGTTCCACTTGATTGTTTTGAGGAACCATGGGTTCTCTTTCGTGGAAAAGATGGTAAACCTGGATGTGTCCAGAATACCTGCGCGCATAGAGCTTGCCCTCTTGACCTCGGTTCAGTAAATGAGGGCCGTATCCAGTGTCCCTATCATGGTTAGTGACATCTTAGAAAGGCATAGCATCTAGGTTATGTAGTACAACAATAGACATTTTATGAGTAATATTCCAGTGCTTTCTAACTATTATTGGAATCACAGTTTGACACCTCTGTGATGGATGAATTTCAGGGTGGGAATACTCAACCGATGGCACATGTGAGAAAATGCCATCTACACGATTACACAAAGTAAAGATTAAGTCATTGCCATGTTTCGAGAAAGATGGAATGTTATGGATTTGGCCTGGTGACGGCCCTCCATCGGCCACTCTTCCTTCTTTACAACCTCCTTCAGGGTTTCAAATCCACGCTGAGGTATGTTAAGGATAAATTCTGATCCTTTGAGCTCTTCCTAAAGAAGGTTAGAGATTGCTTATAAGTTATATATGTGGAAAGAGTTGTAACATTTTTGTAATGTTTTCATTTGACAGCTGGTCATAGAACTCCCAGTGGAACATGGGCTGCTTCTTGATAACCTTTTAGATCTTGCGCATGCTCCTTTCACTCATACGTCCACCTTCGCCAAGGGGTGGAGTGTTCCTAGGTTTGTTTCTGTTTGCTTAACGTACAATCTATCTATCATGTGATATTGTTTCCTGTTGCCATATTTGTGTATCCAACTAGAGCATATATAGAGCATTGTTACTCTAAACTTGATTTAAAAATTTCAACAGATGAGATAATAACTTACTTAATGTTGAGAATAATCTGAATTTTCAGCTTTGTGAAATTTTTGACGCCTGCATCTGGCCTCCAAGGATATTGGGACCCATATCCCATAGATATGGAATTTCGGCCGCCTTGTATGGTACTCTCTACGATTGGGATCTCAAAACCGGGAAAACTGGAAGGGCAGAGTACTAAACAGTGTACCACACATCTTCATCAACTTCATGTGTGTTTACCTTCTTCTAGAAATAAGACAAGGTTATTATACAGAATGTCACTAGATTTTGCACCCGTGTTGAAGCACATTCCATTCATGAACTTCCTATGGAGGCATTTTGCAGAACAGGTAATTAAATCTTTTGTGACATGATTTTTCGCAATGGCTTCAGAGGTGGAACCAAATAAAACCCTCTTGATTAAGATATTCTCACTCAGACTCACTTAAAAATTTGTTGCATTCAAATTGACACAGGTTTTGAATGAGGATCTAAGGCTTGTCCTTGGCCAACAAGAGCGCATGAACAAGGGGGCAAACGTCTGGAACTGGCCGGTGACATACGACAAGCTAGGAGTGAGGTACAGGCAATGGAGAGATGCCTTGGAACGAGGAGAGAAACAACTTCCCTTTAGCAAGTCTGGTTAAATTCAAACCCAAAACAAGAAAGCCTTCTTTTTTGATGAAAACTCTGGAACCAACCTGCATTCTTGAATGGATGATCAACCATGACAAGGCCCTGCGGTTTGGCGATTCTTGGCTTAAACAACGAAATCCTAGAGTCACTTGGCGGGAACTGTTAATTGATCTTGAGGCAAAGAAGAAAATGGTATCTGCATAGAAAACACCCTTGTAAAATTGAAAGAGAAGAAACTGTACACTACCAACCTTTTTTGTTTTCGTTTTTAATAACCTTTTTGTGTACAGTGTTAATATTTTTTCTTCTCTTTTCTTTTTTCTTTTGTCTTTGATTTGTTTCCCAGTAACATATTTATGTGTGTTACTACTTGTATGATGACACCAATCTCTTCAATGAAAATCCAATTACCAATTCTTGCAACAAAGAATCTGCTTTGTTGCTTTGTGTAAATGCAAATTCATGGTTCAAGATTTAGCATTTATTTTTCAGAGAATCCAAATTTCCGAGGAACAAGCTCAAACTTTTGCTAATGAGCGTTTCTCATGATTGAAATGACAAACTGATACCAATTTCATTTCCTTCTGCTACATTTTCATTTCTCAACAATTGCATTAACACAAAAATGGGAAGAAGAACAAAACCCAGTTTTCTGAAACATCCAATTTTATTCCAATTTACAAAGATACACAAAACAAAGCAATCGTGAAGGGACAAATTGATGTTCATATAGCGGAGCCACAGAAGGGGCAGAAGCTGAACTCCGGCTCCACAACCCGATCGCAGAAACGACACCGCAGAGCCTCCGAGACCGCCGCAGAGTCATCGGCGGTCTTCGGAGGCGGCAGAGAGTACGACTGAGGGAAGAAGAGGTTGCAATTGTTACAGTGCATGACGGGCTCCTTTCCGGGCCACCGCCATACGGGGACGAAGAAGACCTTCAGTACCTTCTCGTAGTCCACCAGATCCGCCGGCGACCTGCACACTATGCACCTGCCCGCACTGGATTTCAGCACCTGCCGGACCTGCTGCTCCACTCCTCCAGCGAAGAAGAAGAACATTTTCTCTTTTCTAATTTTTCAAAATCTCTCTCTGAATTTTATTGTTCTTTTGTTTTCGGACGGTTTGTCGCTTTGGGTTTAAATTGATAGAGAGGAGGTTGAGGCGGTTAGTAGTTGAAGGTTTTTTTCTGGAGGGTTCGGTGGAATTCTGGAGGGTGTTTTACAGGAGCTCCATGTGTTGTGCAGCCTTAATTAATTAAAGTAATTATTATTCTGTTAAGTACGGTTAATTAGTGTTTAGCACCTTTGATGCCAGTTCTCATTAAATGAAAATTACTTCCATTTTTTATATATAAGACTCTAACCTAGGTGTAAGGGAACGAACTCACCGCCCTAACTAGCTGTTGCAATTCTCATCAATGTTTATTATCTATTTGAATTTCTATATCTCTTTTTTATGAAGCTTGGATAGCAAATCTCTCATTGGGTTTGGAAAACAATTCAAAACGAACAATACAGGTCTAATTGAAAGAAGCTTGGTGAAGATGGAGCTCATACCTCCCTTCCAAAACATCCATGGCAGTGGTTTTTTCCTCCACTTGGAAGACATTAGAAAAAAGCCCTTATTTTGCTGGATATAGGAGAGAGTGGGATGACACAGTTGATCTGATGTATCTCGCTATTTTGCTTCAACCAAAGGATTTGTGGCTTTGGTATATAGCAGAACTGGCTAAAATATTTTGAGGAATTGCAACCCGAACTTTTTTCCACTAGAGGATTAGGCGAGATTAGCCCCTCAGTGAAGGTCACAAGACGCAAGCGTCCACCCTCAATCCCGAAGGAGAGGGGACCTACACTTTTGGGAGCCCCCCGCCCGTCCCTCCATATTATTAATAAACCATTTTTAAAAAAAGAATACAATGGGGGGGACTAGAACCAAAACCCCGCAAATAACACAAGAACTGGGAAGCCAACTGCAGACTAAAGCAGTGCTGAATAGAGCATGGCTGCTGATCTTGTTGTAACCAGCAGATCAAACAGGGCTCAAAGAGCCACCTGTTTCGAAAAAATAGAAACTGTTTGTGTTCACTGGACAAGGATCATCACAGGAGCCGAACTTTGTCCATGTTTTTTGCATTTAAAAGGCGAATGCACGAGTGCTTTCAGCTTCATCAGCACTTCATGATCTGTTCTGAATGTACCCCTTCGCATCTGATGTGCAAATTCCTGTACCAAAATACAATAATTTCTTTTAGCTTTTTGATAAGGAATACGATGAAATTCATTAATGCCCAGGAAAACAGTAGAAAAGTGGAGACACATAAATCAAAATGCAAATCTGAAATATGATCTATCCAGACTTCCCATTACATCAATTTCATTCCAACAGAACATACTCTCATAATAACTCAACAACTTATGAGTCCACAGCACAAATCAGTGCAAGAAACTCTTACAGAAACCCACATCAGATATCAACTTCCTCTGCAATTTGATTTACACTCGATCTACCAATGCCACACTAATTAGTACCCTCGATGAAATTTTTCTATTTTTCCTTTGTATGCTTAGCACATATCTTCATTTTCTATCTGATCTTGTAAATCTATTTGCCCTTCAAATCCTACTTTTGAAATCATGCATTAATAATTAGGGAGGCATAATGTTAAAATATGAAGAAGGCATGGCATCCTAACTCAAAATGGTTGAGCAATGAAGAAAACAAGCTACCATGAGGTTAAGGTAAACTGGACTATTGTGAACAAAATATGCAGAAAGTAAAATGAGATAACTTCCTTACCAGAACATGTTGCTTCTTCCTCTCAATCAGATATTCAAAGTAACTAGTCTGTGCATTGCCATACAAGTTCCCTTCTTAATCTTCCGTAACCAAGAAAAACCGTCAAAACATTGCCGTAAAACTCCCTTGATTTTTTCAGCAACAAAGCAGAAACGCTGAATACACAATGCAATCAATTAATCATTAGTTGCTTTATATAAATCAGAAACATGGAATAATCAGTACTTAAAACTGATAGTATAAAGCAATAATTCTTATGCAAGATTTCAAAACCTTGACAATAATATTATATATACAAAATGAGATTTATATGACCAAGAATGGCCACAGATGACAAAATGGAAACACATAAAAGGCATAGAGAAGCGGCCATACCAGTACAAGAAGCTCATCTTGATCTAGCAAACACCCCAATTTCCATTATAGTCTTGATAAGCGTGTAAACCTTGAATGTGATCAACCCATCAAACTTGTTCTTGAATGTACACAGCCAATATGCTGTATGCACCACGAGATGTGGCAACTGGTTTAAGATCAAGAAAGGCCAAAACGTCAATTCAATCAACGTCAATCACTTCAAAGAAATAAATCCCAATTGTTGAAAAACAAGAAATTTACCTTTGGCAATCCAATTCAACACGCACTGAGATAATTCAATGCAATCAAGTTGGCAATTTGAAGCGGCAATAGGGGCACAGGTGACTTCTTTTCAGCCATTCAACAATGCAATCTTTATGGTAAAGATGAGAGCAGGGCATGAGCACAACCTCCAACCCAGCAGAGAACTCTTCCAAACAGATGCTACATTCCTTTGTCACGCTCAAATTGTCAATCTTGACCTTCTTGAGCCCCGCAATGGAGGATTTGGCAGCCGGGACTGGATTAAAGACTTGCCCAGATTCCATTATAGCCCTCTCAATTTGGTCACGGTCATCAAAAGGTGTCACAGCAAGAACAGCCAAAACCAATGGGACTATTCTGGGTCCAGCATTTGCAGGCTCCTGGGCAACGTCCATAGCAAAAGAATGAACTTCAGGCAGCAGGACATGAACAAAGTCCATTGAAACACCAGAGCCAGAGAGTACGGTTTGGATTGTTTCTTGGGTGTGTGAGAAAAACACATCAAAGGGTACAAAGAAGGATTCTTGAATTGAGCTCAAGGGTATGTTCAAATCCTGAGGAAAGCACAATTTGAGTTGATGGGTGAAGTCTAAGTGGAAGATGAAACAGTCGCAAGCGAGGAGATGGGTTCTGGGCAAAACTTGGTTTTCTCGTTCAACTTGAGAGATTGAGTATTGGTAGATGGTCTCCATGTTCAGCAACACAAAGAGAGCTCAAAAACTATGAAAAAAAGTGAAAGAGGTCTTCCTAAAAAGTTTTGGGAAATTTTTTTTCTCTGTTTTTCGATCGAGGTTGTGAAACGAACGAACGAAGCGAATCATGTAAATTTATTTACTTCCTTAGGCCAGTCGGTTTGCTGGGCTACCCAGGTTCCAAGTAACATTACCAAATTTACAAGTGGGCACAATATGGCAAAAGACAAAAAAGAAAAATAAAATAAGTAGGTATCAAAAAGACATGAATTCTTATGCGCAAAAAATAGGAGACATGAATTCTTGTACCAAAATAATAATAATAATTTTGGCACCGGATTGCCAGTGTTCCTTTTTATGTTAGAGACATATTAATTATTGCTTCTAACTGTGTGCTTATAATATATTTATCACTTTTTTTTTAGAGTAGCGTTCTTTTTCGACGCTCTCTATTTAACTTAAAATACTTAATTTGGAGTGTCAAAGCTAAACTTGAAGTACCAAAATCGCAACTTCTTTTTTTGACGAAGACAAGAGAAAGGAAATTATAACATAAACACATTATCGACACCAAAAAATAAATAGTAGAATATCTTTTTTCCTAATAATTACACTCATTTTTGTTAATGTGGTATTACATTTTCGGCTCCGCATTGTAATAATCTCATTTTATTTGTTTCTTTTTTTATTATCAATTCATGTACAATTTCCTTGTCAAAAAATATTGTAACAGTTTCCTTATATGATAATATTTTTTAGTTCCCTTGGTGACAAAAAAGAGGATAACATCGTCAAACTAGCACAAGACTAAATTAAACATTTAATAAATTATACGGTAAAAAGTATTCTTTACCCTAAAGAAATTAAAGGGATGTGCATTACAAAAAGAGAAGAAGTCCCTTTTTTTCTCCATTTATTCCTTCTTCTTTTTTTTTAATTCTTATTATTCTTATTTTGTTGGAATAGGGAGGTTTTACGACAATCATATTAGGCTTTCAAACCCTGTTGCTCGACTTTTAGCTTTTGCCACCTAAAAGATAACCATGCAGATCCATTTCAAGATTGGCTTCATAAAACAGGTCAGTTTTTTTGCTCTAGGGGTTCTTGCAATGCATTATTTATTCACAACTCTCATCTTCCTTTCATTGATTTATTTCTCACGTATGTGCAAAGAATTAGGGTTTGGAACTTAAACCAGCACATGCAATTTATAATGCTCATGAGATACAGGGCATGACACTATATGAACTCGAAACCGAATGCCAAGCAGGTCACCTGGTATCGTAATTTTTATATCATACATAGGAGAACAACACCACCATTAAACCACACAGATAATCTCAAGAGGATACTTGAACCAAAGACTATATGTACAATTATCAATCAGCTGACTGCATACGACAGTAAGAAGTCCATAAAAAGAAAGTTATACAGGCTTCCAAACAGTAAGCACCTCTTGAAACATTTCCATCATCAAGTCTCTGTCTGCATGCCTGAAAAAGTCGTTTACTTCGTCTCTAACATCGTATATTTTGCCAAAATCAAACAAGTACATCAAGCATCCTTTCTTCAGCATATGCAGCTGGTACAACCAGGCCTCATGCAGCCTCGCAAGGACATTTGTGGAGTTAATATCTTCCAGAAGGCTTTCCTCACAGGCATCTTTTAGGTCTGCAATGTCATATTTGTTCGCCGCACCTAGAAGTGCTAACCGGTGCTTCCAGAAATTCTCTTGTTTAATGGTTCCATACAGGTAACTGAGAAGAGCCATACAAGATTCCAGGGACATGTCTTTTATGTGGATTGTGGAGGACTCTTTTTCCTTAAGGTCGTGATTGAACATGCTTTGGAACACAGGAGAAGTTGCAGAAAGAATTGCTTTGTGAGCTCTTAAAGTGCCATCGGCAGTGTAGATAGTGACATCAGCATGGATGCCCTCATCAAGCATGCGAGCGAGGCATCGGAGAGTGCTTTGGGTTGATACAGATTGCATCAATCCATCAGCAGGCCATACAGGACTAGCTTCCCCACCCTGATTTAATCAGAGAATTGTAAGAAATCAAGTCCTCCAGATATCACTACTTGTTACTTAATTGATGATAAAGCAAGCTGAAATTAAAATCATTGAGTTGTAAATGATAACTTTTCATCATTTAATGAAGCTTTTGTGGCCCACGGTCCACCAGTGAGAGAGATAATCAACAATAATTTAAATCCATCTGTAATACCAAAAATTCATAAACCACATATACCCATACACGTGAGTTTTTATCAAAAATAGTCAAAATTTAGCCCTTATTTTCATAAATGTCAGTTTAAAAAAAAAAACTTTCAAAAATAGCAAAAATCTCCCCTATGTTTCGATCAATGTTATATCATTGGAGGACTTGAACCATGAAGCTTCCCTGCAGTGCCCACAAGCCTATATATCTTTCACTGAGTTGCACAGCAGTACAACTGCTGGTACAAGTGTAAGTCATTTGAATCATGACCACCAGTCACCATATGTTTGCTCAAGGGCCTGTGTTTGATGATGGGCTTCTAATTGCTTCGATGGTACCTTCCTGTTCCAATGATATAACATTGATCGAAACATAGGGGAGTTTACAGGTTGGAAATCATATTCATGGTTCAGTCCTTCAATGATATAACATTGATTGAAACTTTGTTTTTATTTTTGAAATCAAATTGAAAACAGAGATGCAGGCTTTGCCTTTTAGATTGATGTGGGTTTTAGTTTTGAGGGCATTTGAGTATTTTTAAATGAGCTTTTTGCTATTTTTGAAAGTTTTTATAAAAATTGACATTTATGAAAGTAGGGGGTAAATTTTGGCTATTTTTGATAAAAACTCCACATGTATCAAACTACCACAAAAATAACAATGTAATGAAACTAACACAAAGATAACTATTTAATGGAACTCACATTTAAAGGGCATATCTTCAAGTCGAGAAACTCAACATCAATGATGAAGCGACCAAGGAAGGTGGAATCAACAGGCCAGACAAAGTCTTCATTTGTGCGAAGCAATCTTTCATGAACTGTAACAAGAAGCAAAGCAGCATTACAGGAACATAATTCTATTTAAAAAGAAAAAGAAATGGCTATCATACTATAGATTTCCAAAACAAATATATGTAAGTTCAATATTTCTGATGGAGGTGGGATTTTCCAAAGTGCCCATGGGCAAGAAACACATAAGTTTGTTGCCTTAATTTTTGAATCCCTATTTCCACAGAACAGATCCATGAGTTGGATGTATTACATCAAAGCACATTAACCAATTGTAGCATAAGTCATACACAGAAGCATATTCTTTTTAATTGTAGCTGATGATCAGAAAAGGGGTGAAATGTCGAGGTTATTAATGGTCCTCTCTACATTGCATCACAGCCTTTTTATTTCAAAATATTAGTTACATATTAATTTAGTGTTTTAAATAAGTATCAAGACAGTATCATATTTTGATAAACATACTGAAACACAGCTATATGCTATGTTTGAGATATGTCAAGATCAATTACCAGTTCGGCCTCAAAATATCATCCAAGAATCCATACACATGAATTTTGTAGAGAAACGGAAGATGAATTGAGAGCCCAGTAAATGAGATAAAACCAGATTTCAGATAACCTCTAGGATGGCAAATCCATGTGAAAGTTTTCACGATGAGTGTATAAGGAAAGAAAGAAATAAACAGTACAAGAGACATTTGGATGGGTTTTTTAATAAAAGAAAAAGGAGCATAGCACCAAGCTTCTGTCCTTTTGGCTAAAACGACCTGACAGAACAGCTTTCGTATATCAAAGCAGAGGTACAAATTAAATTAACAGACACAGAGGAAGAAGGTAATGCAAATCCCAAACTTCACTATCCGATGCCTGGAATCATACGATGTAAGGACAGATTCCTTCAAACAAAATCTTATACATTGTAGGACTCGTACCAAACCAGGACGCAAATTAAACAAAACAACTCAACTGACTTCAGATATAGTACCCTGACTTATGTACTACTTCCAATCACTATCTTCAGTTATTACCAACTTATGAACATTTTCTATCATCATTCATATACTAACTTCCAAACATCACGGAAACTACATCAAACTCATATGAACAAAAATCACTAAACTTTCAAGAGCAAAATGAACAACGGAAGACATTGATATATATATATTCAGCCTACTAGTTAGCCCCTCAATCGAAAAAGAAACAGAATTTTAGCATTCCAAGTTGCATGTTATACAACTTTGAGCTGATAGGCACCAGACCAACTATGCATATCCAATTCTAACCACATTTCTAAAAGTGATGCATTCAAACAATCATCCCCAACAATCATAAATCATAGCAAAAAATTTGAACTTGAAGTAAAAATAAGAGAGAGACATACCAGGAGAGACGTAGGGTCTGCGGCCAGGGCCGGAACTAGAGACTCTAAGAACAAAGCGAGCAAGAGGAGGCTGTTCTTTGGACACCCGTGATGGCTCTGGAAACAAACGAATGTAGAGGTACCGATTCTTCTCTATAGAAAAATGCCTGATAACCCAACAAAAAACACTCAATTTCAGAACCCATATCAACAAAGAAAAAGGACAGTTGGGTAAAAATGAGTGTTGTGGGAAGGGAAGTACCAATTCCAAATTCCGAGCTTGAAAGGATCAGACTTTTTGTAAGAGCAAGGCCCGAAATTCTCGATTCTCCATTGGGCCAGTCTTGAGATCGTCTCTACTTTTGAATCGGCCATTGTTGTGAGCTTTCTCACTCTCTGTGACTTCTTCTGGCTGACTTGGTCTTTGCTTTCTTGACAAACTTTTTTTTTAAGGCAATGCCAAGTACTTGGCTTGATCAATTTCAAGTCAAACCATACCAACTTCTACTGCTACCCAACAATATTGTTTCTTTAATTCTTCGAAGAAAAAAACACCATCCGTTTTGCAAATGTTTTCCTTTTCTGGCAGATTTTTTCTTTTATCTGATTTCTCAGAAGATTTTACGGCATTATTAGCGATATGCAAAGAATGGGTGCATTTTTACTCACCATTTTAACCCAATATGTACCATTACTACTATTCTTATAATTTAACACATGTCTATACTTGTAATAATAGTTAATTCTTTGATTTTAAATCTTTTAAGTATTTAAGAAAACTGAGGAAATGGAGCAACGTAGGACACAGAATAAAAGCAGAGGGGCATACTGATCCTGTTGCAAAGTCACGAGGTAAACTGAGATTTTCCGTAAAATTTTAATAATTTTTAATTAATTTTGTTCTTTTTGTTCTATCTTTCCTATTATACAATTACTCTTCATTAATTTCATTTTTACTTCACTTTTTATTATTATTATTTTTAATACTTAATTTTTCAATTTACACTTTATTTTCAGTATTTTTTTAATATATATATATATATATATATATATATAAGTGAAGTAAATTCAAAGTCAAAGTTTCAACAAACACATAATAAACAGTTTCGCTGTTACAGATTTTTGAGCAAGAGACAATTTTATTGTACGAAAATATTAAAATCCACCTTAGCTTCCTTCTTAGAACCATTTTTTTACCGGGCCATTACAAAATACACCACAGGAAACTCCTAGTGAAGTTGAGATGTTGATTTAGTATCATTAAAAGCATATCAGGAGGGTAATTTCGAATGTGTTTTTTTATTTTTTATTTAAATGTAATATTGGATATGGCATGAGTACTTTATGCTTGATTGTTTGATTTTTTTTTTTTTTTTTTTTTTTTTTTTTTTTTTTTTTTTTTCCAATCATCATATCTTCTTCACTGATCATAGACAAAATATCAAATTTCGGTTATTATCAATACCGTTACCTTGACATTACAAATTTTGAATTTTCAGCAATCTCATCCATATCAAAGATAATATTTACTAAAAAGAAATAATATAAAAATGAAGTAAAAAGAAATTAATGGGGGTAATGATAAAATAGGAAAGAGAAAGAACAAAAAAACAAAAAAAAATTTATTAAAAAGTAATAAAAAAAACAAAAGGGAGTGTAAGTGAAGAGAAGAAGAGTGGGAAAATCAACTCCTTTATATAAACCCTAGTTTCCTCCTTGTAAAGGAGTACTTACCAGTGGAAAAACAGAGTATTCCCCAATTCTCTAGTTTTACTCTTTTGATCAATTATGAGTCTGGTCTTGAGAATACAAATATATAATTGACTCGCAAGAGTCTTAAATTGAAGTGCTTCGATTGTTAAATCTTGGGAGATGGATGCATGTACAAAACTGCGTGCACAAGAGCATGGGTCAAATTTGTCTTTAGGACATTGCAATTCTAGCAAACCTCAATCACTAAAGTTGTCAGTATTTTTATTTGTATTTATTGATTTACCTTAATTTCATATAAATTTGTTATTATATTTTGATTATTACAATTTTGTTGAGAATTATTATTATCTTTAAATTCATATTTCCTATTGTTATTCCAACATCCGAAAGTTTCACAATGTACACTTCATGGCAGTTGACTCAATGTGGCTCCTGTCAAGGCTTCATGGTAGTCTAATCAGAAAAACATTTCCCCCAATATACCTGAATCAAGATTAAATCAAATAAACATGATGAGTGTCAAAAGAGTGCTCAATAAAAACTTACTCCCTCTCTATCAAAGCAAGTCCACTCACTACCAAACGTTAGTGTTTAATGAGTACGAACGAAAAGAAAGAAATGCATCTAGCAAGACCCATGAATTCCTTCATCAATGTAACAGCAAAATTATAAGTACAATAGATTCTTATGCGCAAAGAAGTAGGGTTTGGAACTTAAACCCAACACAAGCAATTTATAATGCTCATGAGATATGGGGCATGACACACTATATGAACTCGAAACCGAATGCCAAACAGGTCACCTGGGATCGTAATTTTTTTATCATACAGGAGAAGAACATCACCATTAAACCACACAGATAATCTCAGAGGATACTTGAACCAGAGACTATATATACAATTATCAATCAGCAGACTGCACATGACAGTAAGAAGTCCATAAAAAGAAAGTTATTAAGGCTTCCAAACAGTAAGCACCTCCTGAAACATTTCCATCATCAAGTCTCTGTCTGCATGCCTGAAAAAGTCGTTTACTTCGTCTCTAACATCGTATATTTTGCCAAAATCAAACAAGTACGTCAAGCATCCTTTCTTCAGCATATTCAGCTGGTACAACCAGGCCTCTTGCAATCTCGCAAGGACATTTGTGGAGTTAATATCTTCCAGAAGGCTTTCCTCACAGGCATCTTTTAGGTCTGCAATGTCATATTTGTTCGCCGCACCTAGAAGTGCCAACCGGTGCTTCCAGAAATTCTCTTGTTTAATGGTTCCATACAGGTAACTGAGAAGAGCCATACAAGATTCCAGGGGCATGTCTTTTATGTGGATTGTGGAGGACTCTTTTTCCTTAAGGTCGTGATTGAACATGCTTTGGAACACAGGAGAAGTTGCAGAAAGAATTGCTTTGTGAGCTCTTAAAGTGCCTTCAGCAGTGTTGATAGTGACATCAGCATGGATGCCCTCATCAAGCATGCGAGAGAGGCATCGGAGAGTGCTTTGGGTTGATACCGATTGCATCAATCCATCAGAAGGCCATACAGGACTCGCCTCCCCACCCTGAGACCACTCTTAGAGGATGTAAGGACACATGGTTGCACTAAAATATTATTGTAAGAAATCAAGTCCTCAAGATATCACTACTTGTTACTTAATTCAAGAAAAAGCAAAAATAAAATAAAATCATTGAGTTGTAAATTATAACTTTTCACCATTTAATGAAGTTTTTGTGGCCCACAGTCCACTAGTGAGAGAGATAATCAACAATAATTAAAATCCATCTGTTCTAATACCAAAAATTCATAAAACACGCATACCCATGCCCATACCCATATGTAAGTACCACAAAGATAACTATGCAATGAAACTAACACAAAAAACACTATGTAATGGAACTCACATTTAAAGGGCATATCTTCAAGTCAAGAAACTCAACATCAATGATGAAGCGACCAAGGAAGGTGGAATCAACAGGCCAGACGAAGTCGTCACTTGTGCGAATCAGTCTTTCATGAACTGTAACAAGAAGCAGAGAAGCATTACAGGAACAGAATTACAGCTCAGTTCATTCTCCTTAAAAAGAAAAAGAAATGGCTATCATATTGGAGACTTCCAAAACAAATATATGTAAGTTCAATATTTCCCATATGAACAAAAATCACTAAACTTTCAAGAGCAAAATGAACAATGGAAGACATTGACGATATATATTCAGCCTGCCAGTTAGCCCTTCAATCGGAAAAGAAACAAACTTTAGCATTTCAAGTTGCATGTTATACAACTTTGAGCTGATGGGCACCAGACCAACTACGCATATTATACAACTTTGAACAATTTTAACCACATTTCTAAAAGTGATGCATTCAAACAACCATTGCCAACAATCATAAACCATAGCAAAAAATTTGAACTTGAAGTAAAAATCAAAGAAAGACATACTAGGAGAGATGTAGGGTCTGCGGCCAGGGCCGGAACTGGAGACTCTAAGAACAAAGCGAGCAAGAGGAGGCTGTTCTTTGGACACACGAGATGGCTCTGGAAACAAACGAATGTAGAGGTACCGATTCTTCTCTATAGAAAAATGCCTGATAACCCAACAAAAAACACTCAATTTCAGAACCCGTATCAGCAAAGAAATCAAAGAAAAAGGAGAGTCGGGCAAAAATGGTTTTTGTGGGAAGGAAGTACCAATTCCAAATTCCGAGCTTGAAAGGATCGGACCTTTTGTAAGAGCAAGGCCCGAAATTCTCGATTCTCCATTGGGCAAGTCTTGAGATCGTCTCTACTTTTGAATCGGCCATTGTTTTGAGCTTTCTTTCTGACCAGCCTTCGAAGTTTTTGATGAAGCTCTTCTCTCACTCTCCGTGACTCCTGGCTGACTTGGTCTTTTGCTTTGTTGAGTGGTGGGTTGATTTGTTTACTTTAGACCTTCCTCACAAAGTTTTGTATACAAAGTTTTGTAGACAAAACTTTTTTTACGGCAATGCCAAGTACGTGGCGTGATCAATTTCAAGTCAAACTACACCATTTGTTTTATAAATTCCTTTTCTGGCATTTTTTTTCTTTCTTTTATCTGATTTCTCAGAAGATTTTTACAGGATTATTTGCGGACATGATCATGGTGGCAAAGCTAGTAGTATGTTACTTCTTTGGGGACTCTTTGTTGAAAGTGACCTTTTCTTTTCTTCTCTTTTCTTTTTGGGATTTGTTGTATACTTTGCATTATCAACCTTGCTGTGTAAGTAAAGGTGTCCACCAACCAAACGAGGAGGTCATAACGAGGAGTTTAAAGTGAGGAGGCTATTTGAGGAGGTCAATTTCACCATCAACAAATGTAAAGAAATCATGAGACTTAAATATTTTAAATATTTTAATGGTAAAATTGGCATCCTCAAATAATCTCCTCAATTTAAACTTCTCATTATAGCCTCTACCCCAACCAAAATGGAACTGGAGAAAAGAGTGGGACATGACTAATAAAGAAGAAAGCAACAAAAGAAAGGCCCAAAAAACTTAATAAACAAAGCGTCATTTTAATCATAAAGAAAAGGTTTAATCAGGGATGGTGCTTGGTGATATGGTGTTTTGAAAAGGAGATGGTGGAGATAATCTGTGTATAAAGTTGTGGTGGTGGAGAGAGAGCTTTTAACACAAGGAAACCAATGTGGCCAGTTTTATGTTCTTCCATTCTCAGTCAATTGGGTTTAAGCTGGGATTGGACTGGACTAAAATTGTCCAATTCTACCTCTTTATCCACGGCCCTATCCACAAACCATAGGCCCACGAACTTCTAGTAGACCTGAGTGAGAGGCGGGTAAGTGCAAATAATTTTATTTTCACTCTTTTTTTTTACAAACAACTATTTACAAATTACTTTCACAACGAGTCAATACATAACATAACATCAACAACAAAACTACACTACTATGATAAGAGTTAGCCACGATTAAGGGCTGGTAATGGGTTGTATCGTGTCGGGTTCGTGTTGTGTCGGGATAATAAATGTGTCAAGAATGCTCAATCCGAATCCAACCCATTTAATAAACGTGTCATGTTGGGTTCGGGTCGTCTTTTATCGTGCGGGTTTCGAGTCGTGTAACGGGTTCATAAATAAAATAACATGCATGTTACAAAACTCACAACTGAAAAAATTTAAATAAAAAAACAGAGAGAGGAGAGAAAATATAAGGAAAAGAAAGAAAAAAAAAAGATAGAGAGAGGAGAGAAGAGTGAAGGAAAGAAATAAATAAAAAAGAGAGAAGGAAAAGAAAGAAAGAAAAAAGAGAGAAGAAGATAGACAGAAAAGAAAGAAAAAGAAACATTATAAATATCAAAAGGCATAGTATATAATCACAAAGTTGTATGTAGCATGGTGGATAAGGTGTTGGAGATGAATGAGGGTGGTGAGGGTTTAAAACCTCTTGTGTGTGTTTTGAAGTCTTTATTTCTCTTCATTTTTTCGCGGGTTGACATGTATTACACGGGTTGACACGACCCGTTTAATAAACGGGTTAAACATGTGTTTTAACGGGTTGGCGAGTTGACCCGAAACCCACTTGTTTAATAAATGGGTCATAACGGGTTAACCCAATTATTAATTGTGCGGGTTCGGGTCATGTTTTTTCCACGCGGGTTTCGAGTCGTGTAGGAAATTGTCACCCCTCATTACAAATATATATTATGATCATCAACCATGATAGTTGAACTTAAAACTTCATTCAATAAAGTCGAGATAAATACAACTAGATTTTTTTAATCAAGAAATATCATTAGATTAAAAGTTAATTTGTTGCTCCTTTTCCAACTAATTGGTTCCACTTTAGTTGTTAAAAAAAGTTTTTTTTAGGAAATTGTAGAGAAGTTAAGTAAATTTAGGTTTTAGCCATAAAAAAACTTTCACTTTTGGAAAAAGCCAATGCTTTTTCAAAAAAGACAGAAAAACCTCTCAACTTTCAAATCAAAGACATGTAAATGTAAATGATTCATTAAGAAATCAAAAAATAAATAAGGGCAATTTTGTCTATTTTAACTTCTTTTAAAAAATTTCTCTTTCTTTTTACTTTTTCCAAAGTCTCCCGAGAACTTAAATAAATCAGCTGGATTTATTTTCTCACAATAAAGTTAAATGAATCAAGTCGACTAACTTTTAAATCTTTTTTCTTTTCTTTTTTTTGGGATCGTGCGATTAAAACGTTAGTTGAAAACGTGCCCCAAAAAAAAAATGTGACCGCAAGCCGTGAGCCACTCTAAATCAAAATCAACCGTCCTCTTCCGATTCAACTCTCTCTCTCCTTTCTCTCTCATAAAAATCCAGAAGCCACAGAATTTCATACATTAAACAACAACAGAGCTTTATCTTCTTCATCCAAACCCCAGATTTGCGCACACAACCAATCCCCGCAACCAAACACACACAGACATGGCTTCTTCTACCTTCAGCGGCGACGAAACCGCTCCTTTCTTCGGCTTCCTCGGAGCCGCCGCAGCTCTCGTCTTCTCCTGTAACTCCAATTTCTCAAACCCTTTCAATTTCAATTTTATTTTCTCAAAGATTCTATCTTTCTGATTCAAATGATTGCGATTGCACAGGCATGGGTGCGGCTTACGGCACAGCGAAGAGTGGGGTGGGTGTGGCCTCCATGGGAGTGATGCGGCCTGAGCTGGTGATGAAATCGATCGTGCCGGTGGTTATGGCTGGAGTGCTTGGGATCTATGGGCTCATCATAGCTGTTATTATTAGCACCGGGATTAACCCAAAGGCCAAATCTTATTACCTCTTTGATGGGTACGCGCACTTGTCCTCTGGCCTTGCTTGTGGTCTCGCCGGACTCTCCGCCGGAATGGCCATTGGGATCGTCGGTGACGCCGGTGTCCGGTAACCCTTTTACGCTTAGCTCTTGATTGCTTGTGGTTTCGTAGTTTTAACTGAGTTCGCTCTGTTGATCTTTTAGTCGTGATCATATATGCTTGTCTAGTAAGATGTCATTTTTATTGGACCAGTGAATTAGTTCCCTATTGATTAGCATTGAATGGAAGAAATTAATGTTTGAGAGTGCCAACAGCAGTTTCAAATTACAAATTTTTTTTTTTTTTTTTTTCTTTTTTTTTGATGATGAATAAACAAATATTTGGACTGCTAGATGAATGCCCAGGAAGCACTTGGGTTTATAATAAAGTTTTCTACGAAAAGCACTATTAACAGAGATGCATTACCTTACAAGAAGGGGTGGATCTCTTATATGCCAATAGTTTGTCAAAGTTGGTGGTTCTTTGTATGTCTAATGTGGAATGCAGAGATGCTTTACTTATGTAGAAATGCATTTCCTATTGGGTATTGGGTTTATGCTTCAATACAACATGGCTTTTATGTTCGGTTCCAAGGAAATAGGTGAAGCCATTTTGGGCTAAATATGAGTATTACCTTTGCTCTATGTTCGGTTCCATCTTTTAAAAACTAGATGTGTTTTCTATATGATTCCAAACTTTGAGTTATAATCTTAGTGCATCAAAAGACTCGAAACAATAACAAGTACAGCAGCACACGCTGAAACTACACTAGGTTGAGCAGCTTCAGCTTGTTTGTTTTCTAGACAATTTTCTTGTTTTCAATAAAATGCTTGTTTAGATCTGTGTTTTCATAAGCTGGTTCCTTTCTAGTTAAGTTGATTTTACAGTTAGATCGTAGCTTTTTTTTTTTCCCCCTCTTCTCATGACATTTATCGTAGCTTTATTAACACTGTCTTTTTGCTATATAACACATGTCAAGCGGGATGATATTTTCTCCGTATTTTGTTTTGGATTATTTTCAGGGCTAATGCACAGCAGCCAAAGCTCTTCGTTGGTATGATTCTTATCCTTATCTTCGCCGAAGCTCTTGCCTTGTATGGCCTCATTGTGGGGATCATCCTCTCGTCCCGATCAGGGCAATCTCGCGCAGATTAAGGAAGTCAAGTTTGTTGCTCCTCTAGATTATTTGAAGAGGATATTATTATTATGCCTTTACAATGGTGTTGTCTCTATAAAGGTTGGTTAATTTTAGTTAGAGTTATATTATTTGAGCTGCACGATGCCTGTAGTTATGAAGAAACAATTGTTTTGAATGTCAATTTTCTCATGCTCCAAAATAAGGACAGATTAGTCAATGAAAACTTCACCTTGTTGAAGAGGATTGGTGTTTTTAAGATTTCTTGTGTTGTGAATGGCTAATTGAGGTGAGAAGCTGTGCCTGTGTGTTTCTATACGTTAGTTATTTGCGTAAAGATCAGAGTAGCAAAGCTCTGATGAAGGTGAATGCTGTTTTGTAATTTAAGCAATACCCGCCAAAGACCAACCGTCATTATATCAAAAAGCTTATGAGACTCACTAACATGAAGTTGGATCTCACTTTGTCATATTACTGTCGGATGTTGTGGTGTTCTTGGTCGTGATCAATCCTGCTCTACGACTGCACTAGTTTTCGATCTCACTTTGTCTTATTACTGTCTGATGCAGTGTATTCCCTCTCCCAGTATCTAAAAAATTCATCTTGATATCTCATCTCACCCCACCAAAACAAATATGAACCCTTGTAGAAAGGCTTAAACTCAGTAATGATTTGTTTAAAAAAAATTATAAAAAACTACTATAGTTTTCCTTGTAAAAGGGCCTTTTATTCACAATTTGGTGTGTATTCTTTAGTAATTATATTAACGGCATATTTACTTATTTAGAATGAGGAAAAAAGTTATAGATGGGGAAATCATGAATGGGAAGGGAAGGAATTGTATGGAATCAGCTACTCACGCTAATTGATCTGATTCCTGAGTTTTTCGATATTAAATTACAAATGTGGAACTTACATATGATGCACCCGAAGTTCTAATTTTGATTCCCTCATCTCTAATATCCGCCTCTATAAATAAAAGGAAAAAAGAAAGAAAATTGATTTATCATGTTCATACTGCGTGCCCACCATATAGAGAGTTGAGGCTTTTGGGTATTTGGTAAGACCAGAGAACAGAGATATACGACACACAGAAAAGGAAGAATTGAAAAGATGGCAACACCAGCAGCTTCGTCCGCGGCAGAAGCTCCAAAGATTGTGTGGAACGAAGCCAAGCGAAGGTTCGAATCGGAGGACCAGAAGGCGTACATAGAGTACGTGCTCAGGGAAAATGGAAAAGTGATGGACTTGGTGCACACCTTCGTCCCATCTTCCAAGAGAGGCTTGGGCTTGGCTTCCCATCTCTGCGTCGCGGCCTTCAACCACGCCAAGTCCAATTCCATCTCTGTCATCCCCACCTGCTCTTACGTCTCTGTCAGTAAACTACCTTCTCTCTCTCTCTCTCTCTCTCCTCTCTCTCTCTCTCTCTCTCTCTGGGTTTCTCTCAAAATTTGATCTTTATGGATTAACTTTGATAATTTTTTTTTGGGTTTTCTAATCTGATTCATTTCTGGGTCCTGGTGGTGATTTTTGGCCCTGTTTGTTTCCATTCACTAAGAATTTTTTCTCCAGAACTGGAAATGGTTTGTTTCTGCCTTTTGTGTGTGTGTGTGTGTGTGTGTTGTAATTTGCTTCATTGGCCTATGAGACTGTTGTTATCTGTTGTTCATTTTGATGATTAATTCATAGGGAAAACAAATGTTTTTTTTGTGGAGATTGTTGAAAAAGTACTCTCTGGTTTTGGGTCTTCTTCTTCCCTTTTGTTTTCTATTTTGGGTTGACATAATTTCTTTGTTTTCTTTTTTCTGTGTTGGCAGGACACTTTTCTCCCGCGGAACCCTTCCTGGAATTCTGTTTTGTACTCGGGACCAGGAGAGATGAAGTCTAGTATATGATTTACTGAAGTTATAGTTTAATGGAATTTAGTGAAATGCTTGTAAGCCTGTAGCTGGGTGTTCTATTTCAACTGGGAAAAGGTTTATTTGCTTTACTAATACGATATCATTTACAAATAAATATGCACCGTTGATGTTATGGTTAACGCTGATGTGATTACATAGCAACCGTTGAAATTAAATTGGGAAATATTACAGCATGATTGGAAAGTGATAAAAGTTCCAATGGGGTTGTCGTATGAGAAATCAAGTAAAAGGTAGCATTGGGAAATAATACACTTTATTCCTCAAATCCATCATACCAACAGATTACAACTCATATTGAACATAACTTTATGTTTTGATACATAAAATTCCGGCAAACGAGAATACCAGAAGCAAAAACAAAGGCGCAGACCGATAATAACATTGTGAAAAGAATTCAAGTGTTTCTTCTGACTATACAATGTATTTACAATGAAGATCATCTTTGAGGTATCAGCCAGGTACGAAATAATCCATCTTCTCCACCGGCAGATTCAGAAACGATGTGTCTACCTACATCACAACAAAAGCAAACACCAAACATTTCACAACAAAAGTAAGAAAACATGACAACATACGATGTGAACATATCTTTGCTTTCAGCAGGGGATTAATGAAAACTCGTCTTGGCCACAAAGGGATTTGGTTGCAGAAAGTAAAGTGAAAAAGAAGAAACACACATACCTCCTCAAACGGAACGAAGACAAAGGGTGTTAGACCCCTCTTGTGTGAGACGGCCGGCACATCTGGGTTGTGAGTCTCGTCATCCTGCCACCCTTCAACCACCCCAAGGATATCCTCATCAGGGCCACAAACCTCATTATCGTTCACACCACTTGTAACAAGTGAGAGTAAATCCATCCTATTGTTTGCCCCTACTGTTGTTCCTCTTAACCTATATGAGAAACAGAAAAGCAGATGAAGAAAAAAAAACTTGCGAATTAGAAACGAAGCAAAAAAACACATGACAGTCTCTCCACACCATTTGAAAGCGTTATCTAGGGCGCAAACATATCCCATTTTAAGAAACAGAATCTAATGGAAGTTTTCTAATATGACAAACATGCCTCTGCTAGCTCAAATTTTTCAAAACTTATATTTTAGCAGTGTGACTATCACATTCTAACATGAGGAACCAATGGTTGCATGTGCCCATAAGTCAATCTTTAAGCACAGCACTTAACTACAGAGTGTAACTATTGCACCTTAAAGAAAACCCATTAAAAATACCACCTTGAGCCTATTACATAAAATGTAAGAGAGATGGTAAACATGATAATAGCTTAAAATCTACAAGCTATTGAAATACCTTAGGCGGATTCTCAACACAGTAGGGCGCATGCCTGGATACAAAACTGCAGCTTCAACCTACGAGGGAAGAGTAAAGAAAAATACTTAAGATGCAAACTAAACAATGTAGAATAGTAGTAGAATATGTGTGCTTATAAGTAGAAAATCAATAACTGGTGAAACTAAATTTTAAGTAACACGATCAACCAAAACTTGCAAGGTAGTTAAATGGATGCAAAGAAACATAGCCTGACCTTATCATCTGAGAATGTGTAATGGCCACTGAAAACAGAGTCTGTCTTGGCTGAACGGAAATTCATGAATTTTGCTACATCCTTGAGTTTTTGAGATGAATTCTGATGGTGCAAAAAACGAGAGAAAATAGTAACAATCAGATACAGAAAATTATCATTAATATACTTAAATTTATTATGAAAAACTTCAGAAATTCCAACCTTGTACAGAAATCGGCCAGAAGGAAAAAATCTCATGTACCGGTAATAGCACACCTGCAAAAGCAGAAAAAAATAATAATAAAAGGATGATTGCCAACTGCTGGGAATAATTACATAAAAGACTAGCTTTGCAACTACTTTTTGTTTGACTATACGATTTCCCAGTTTCAGCTAATGCTAAAACTCGTTGAGGCAGCTAAAATCACAAGTCACAACTAGGTTGCAAGTACTAGGATGGCAAATATGCATCCACAATGAGAATCGTTTTCAAGGACCTAGGATCAAGTCATGCATTTACCAGGGAGTGGAGGTTTGGGGTATTTGGGATGGGAAAGGGAAAATAACCCATTAAACTCTGTAGCTTTGTAGGCCACTTGGCCTCCAATAGACCTAAACAAGAGAAATAAAGTAGTAATGTCCAAAACTTAACTGACTCCACATAAAACAAGACATTAAGCATCTGGGATGTTGAGTCCACTTAGCTGGATTTACAGATTTGCCAAGTGTAATTGAGATCTAAAACAAGGAGTACATGCAAATTGTAAAATACTAATCTCAGACCTGCGAAGGTAAATCATTCCCATTCACCTCGTGATTTCTATTTCAAGAAATGTAAAGAATAACTTGTTCAAATTATGTACATGCACAAGGAAGTAACTTTGTCCACTTCACTGGCAGAACAATATGCACGCCAGATTGCACATACATCACGAGTACAGTGTACTAGTTCCTCAAGTAACATACAGCTATATCTGAGTTTTGGTACTCCTAAAGCTCACATTTTAGGGGAAATTCAGAATTGGCTTCTTCACAATCTATTTTCTTAAATCTAACAAGATCTTTTTGCCTTGCTAATGCTTAAAAAATTGTATGCCTAGTGAAGCTTAGCTCGGACAATACTTCTAATGACTGACACCACCTAGAAGCTCCTCTACCCCAACAAAACAAAAAAAATATCCCAAAATCCCAGAGGTATTGGTTATATACCAAAACATACCAAGTGAACTGGGTTAGTGATCTTCCATTCTGCAATTCCAGTACGAATATAGGTATTCCTGCTCACATACAGACCTGACATGTGAAAAACAAATAAATCTTATTGAGAGTATTTTCACATTGGAAAAATATCATCAATGTGTATAGGTCTACAATCTAGATATTGACTGCTGAGATTTTAACGAAAGGAAAAAGGGATGGGAAACAAATGCATCTTATTCTTACCATCAGTGCGAATCCTTGGTCTTAGAAGCCACATTTTTCTCCATGAAGTGTCGTACTTTGCTTGTAGAATCTTATAGTTTTCAACCACTCCAGAGAGCTTAAGAAGAGATGCCCCAGTTTTAAATCCAATACTTACATACAGTAACATTTAAACTGGATCAAACTTTAAAGCCAACACCATTATACCTGCCAAGCCTTTAAGCATGCAATGCGCCAAAAAACAGGGTTACGAATAGTGTATCTCCATTTGCGACAAACACAAGCTGCCCTTCCCAAGTCATATGGACTCATTCGTGCAAAAACCTGCATATGAATATTCTAATCTTTAACCAAAGACCTGCACTTCCCAAAAGTATTTGTATATTCTAATTTATTTGCATATAACCAAAATATGGAATGCAACATGGTACTCAATCTCCTATTCCAGTTGTCTGTCTCAAAATGATCCAGAATCCATGAAACGTCAATTCTTAAGCACTCTTAATATTTCATGCTCTGGTACCAGGAATGAATACTTCCAAAGTAGAAGAAAGTAATTATAAAACCTATAGTTTGAGAAAAAAATAATTTGAAACATTTATTAGTCATATCCCTTGTTCTATATTTTTCTTAAAAACCAAGCAGAAGGTAATGGATGAAGAATGCAAAGGAATATTGTAATCTCATCATCGCTAACAATGTCTTTATGTTAAAGACTTGACCAAAGTTTTAACTAGCTATTTCAACACAGTTATTACCTCATAGAGCAGCTCATCCGGCAACGTACGGTGCAACAGCGCTGGATCAACATGTACTTTTCTACTTGTACTTCCAACTGGTGCAACAGGTCTCACATTGATTCCATAAAGATCTGAAACAGAAAACCAGGGAACAATAAGATATCATAGACAATCTACCTGACACGCACGCATGCACAACACAAGTACATCAATAACTAAATTTATACCTGACACGCACACATGCACAACACAAGTACATGTATGTGTGTGCTCAGGGCAGCATAATTTGAAAGTGGCATGAAAGAAACATGAAATTAACAAACATACCAAGCCACGGCCTCTTAGTTATATAGTACTGAACGGTGTTCAACCGCAAAGCCGATTCAAGTTCAGCTGGAACTTTGAAAGCAAAATCTGCAAGACATTACTTGGTCAAAGCAAATTTTTTAACTTATCTGTCGAATTCAATTTTCTGAAAAACTAACCAAAATTGAACTCCAAAAACTCACAATTCCATTTGTTTTCCAAATTCACAACAACCAAATTAGTGGTGAATGAATTCCAACTCCAATTCGTTTTAAACATTTATAAGAACGCACACCACAATGCATATTCGACTAACAAACACTACCCAGAACTTGAAACCTCATAATTTATGCAATAAGTCCCATAATTCAATATCGAAATCATAATTTTCCGCACAATTATACAAAAAGTATATCATTTGCAAAAAACGGCGCGAAAATTCGACCGTTGACGAGTCCAATAGAAGATCACAAAATTGAAGCTTTAAGAGGTGAATTAGATACCTGAAGCCATGAGAATGAAGGCTAGTTCTTTCCTCCGGGCAAAAATGAAGCCTTTGCTGCCGATTTTCTCGGGAAAAACAGGAACGACAGAGGACGAAGATGGAGCGAGAGACTTAGGTGATATACGACCGTTTTTTTTTTAACCGACTTTAAAAAAATTTGACCCATCAACCACTGGGCCCAGCTTCGGCCCAATTTTCATTTGCGGATATGAACCTTTCCCAATTTCTGGGGGATGTTCATTCTAACTTCTAAAACCCGTAGGAACTGTGCTAAAACCTGTGGTAATAATTCATTTGTTTTAAATTTTAATACACAAATGAATGGATGTTTCATTCTCATCTATACTTTCAATTTATGGAGACAGAAAAATGAAGAGCACATTATTGGCACTCCAAAATAGTCTGTCAGTTATTGGTACTCCAAAATATTCCGTCAATAATTATTTAGTCTAGCGGCACATTTCCCTTGTTGAAAGAGATTAAGAGTCCAAATAGCATCAACGAAAGTTGTTGAATAAAAACATAGCATTTTTTTGCAAGAGACTTATAACTCGAGTAGTTAAGCCTAATTATCCATGCACCCCGAGTATAAATTTTTTTTTAAAAAAAAGGCAAGTAATAGCTCAAATAGTTGAAAGCATTTACCTGCTCAAAGAAAACGATCATAGCATTAGCAAACCAAACCACCAAACTGAAAAGAGATGAAAACAAGAGATACAATCAACTGTCCACAATTAAGTTCCACTCCCTTTACAAAATAGAAAGCCTGACAGCTGTTTAGGCTTGATGTTCAGTGAACTCAGCCTGCATCTAACCACACTACATTGGCAAAGGCACAAGAGGAGGGCTCTTCATGCTTCTCAAACCCCTGCCATTTGTTGCACTACCGTTGCAGCTAGACGCAAGTTGATCAGACCATTGTGATGGCCACCTATTATTAGAAAACATACAGCTTCTTCGATGTAAAACCATGCTACAAAGAGCATCAGGTGACTACAAATTTCTTTTAGGGATTTGCGTTTTTGTGGAACTCCATAATCCAGCTGTTGTAAGCATTGCAAATGACTTCACATGAAGAGAATCCAGATTTTACTGCTAAGTCCTCGTATTCATGTTTGGTCCTCTCTTTCCCTCCAGGGTTTACTGTTAGCATGAGTAAGTCCTGCTCGCAGACAATGTTCGATGTTACACTACTGTCAGGAATGTCGGGAAGAATTGATTCCACAATGATAACTTTTCCAGAGCTGGGAAGAGCTTTGCAGCAGTTCTTGAGAAGTGTCAAGCAATGCTCATCACTCCAATCATGAAGTATCCACTGCAAGTTTCATCAACAAAGTCAACACAACAATCGAGATAAAAACATTTGAAGTTTTATGAGGCCAAATTATATCCATTTGGGGCAAAATGAGACTAAAACAACAGCCGACAGCCTACACCAGAGAAAAAAGGAATTTCATCTACAGCTTCTTCCTAAGTATATGTCAGGGGAGAATATTAGTGGTCACATTCATGGCCATAGACTCTAGTTCTTGAGGGGTTTCTCAATGTGTAATCTAAATCAGCACATAATTATCATTTTGATGATAATCACTCAGGACTTCACTCAAAAGTAGTAAGTTCAAACGCAACAGAAAATTGAAGTGCAAAGTAAATAGTCCATGGTCCATTGGATGGTCGGTGCAAGGCCAGAAATTGGAACACATTGATTCCGCTCAACATGAAGAAGATCTTTATATGCACACAGTGCACTTAAGTATGCAAACGAATACAATGATTTTGGAAATTTACTGTCAACTAAATGATGGATAACAGCAAGAACACAGAGGCCTTACCTTCATGAATATAGCATCTCCTTGTGGAACACTTACAAACATATCTCCCCCAACATGCTCCACACCTGCACAATGACAAACCTTTCATTAAGTTTTTATACGAGCAGCACGGAATTGATAAGAAACATAGGTTGTAGTTAAGCGTCGATGCGTAATCAAATCATGTAGAACACTGCCAATGCACGTTCCAATACCAAGAAATAATTCAGTACCTGGATAAGAAGGAGCATCAGCTAAAACGTGTGGCAAATCAAAATTAATGCCCTTAATGTGGGGGTACTTGGTGGTGATTAAATTGAGAGTGACACCAATTCCACCCCCCACATCGACCAACACATTGAGGCCTTCAAACCCTTTATAAACATCAAATATCTTCTTCAAGATTAAGGTAGTGTGGTTTGACATGGCCTGGTTGAATACCCGATTGAACCTCTCATCTGTTTCTGGATACTCAAAGGCTGTCATTCCATAAGCCCTGTTAAATGGAATTCCGCCTTCTAATACTGCATCATTGAAGTGGCACCTGGAAGTCACAAATAATTGGTATGCCAAAGTATCCACATAAAAACACAAATTTTATCAAACACACATCTAACTTGAAGTGTTAGCATTACTTGATTCTAAACAACAAATTCATGGTCTAAAACAGTGAATCTAGTTACATTCCAGACCATAGAACATTCCCAGCACAACAGCAACATCAAACACAAAACATTCTAGTAAAATTCGAAGCCAGTAGCCAGCCAACAAAAAAATTAATCAACCCACTAAGCAAAATTCACAGCACTCCCAAATCCCAACCAACCCAAAAGCCAAATTGAAAACATAACCACCTCTCCATGAAGATCTTATCATGGTGCAGCAGAAACAAAGGATCATAAAACATTCCCAACACAACAGCAACACCAAACATAAAACATTCAAGTTTATATTGAAAATTAGTAGCTACCCAAGAACCCCAAACAAAATTAATCAACACACTAAGAAAAACTAATAACAACACCCCCAAATCCCAACAAACCCAAAAGCCTACTTGAAACATACCAGCTCTCCATGAAGACCTTATCATGATGCAGCAGAAGCAAAGGCCCAACAGACCCAACTCCATCATGCTGATCCTTGACAAGAAACTTGCATAGAGCTCCAGCACCATACAGCCTCTCCACCTTCCCATCTTGGCCGATTCGAACCGAGCATTTGAGAATAGAATGGCTTGTCAAAAGCCTCAGCATCCGGTCCAGCAGAACCGGGGCGTCTGGGTTCTTTGTGGGAAGGCTAGCTGCAATCTCAGAAGGTGAGAGGAACTTGCCATCCCCTGCAGCGGAGATGATGTCTATGATGTTGAGTTCAATGGCTGACTTTAGAACCATTGGTAGGATCACCACATTGGCTAATCTTATAGCCAACTTGCCCACTTCTTCTTCTTCCTTTTCTTCTTCTCGTTGCTGAGACATTGGGTTTGCGTTGGTTTTCTCGGAGATTCTGCTGCTCATTTTTGGAAGCTGATGATTGATATCTCACTGACTCACTTTGTTTCAAGTCCTGGAGACTAGTACTTTGACAAAAACAAGTGCTATATACTAAATGCAGGCTAAGAAACAATAGTGGTTCATGCGATTCTTTTGCTCTTTAAACAATTGTGCAACTATGCCTTTCTTTCTAACAACTCCCTCATTCTTTTGCTAACCAAATTCCACGTTCTCTATAAACAATGAACCAAAGTCCCATTTCTTGCACTCGATCTTTCTAAACAAACCTCAAACACACACGTTTTTCACTAACCAACCATTCAACTCCCTCCCCTCTACACATGATTCTTCTTGGAAGTCACAAACACCGTTCCACTTGCTTCCCCAATTTATGGGTCAGCTTTTTCTTCCATCTTCTCAGAATGCCTCTCTCAGGTCAGGCCTTAAAGAGAAGCAAAAAATAATAAAATAAAATAAACAGCCCATTTTGGGTTGATACAAAGCCCAATTAAAACCCATACGAACTCGACAAACAAAGTCTGTCTAAGTTTTCTTTAGGCCTAGTACACAACTTCTTCATCGGAACCACTATTTATCTTACACTCCAAATTTAGTATTATACAGGGCCTGCCATGAGCAAGGGCACAAGGTGCGACCAACCCGAGCTCCTCATTGAGGAGACCCCATATTTTTTTTCCCATTAGATAACAGTGTCACTTGCATAAATATTTTCCGAGCATTAGACATTAAACAGTGGACCTTTTTTTATGGTCACCAAGTTCAGTCTTGTATTTTGCCCTTAAGTAGTAATGAACTCGAGCTTTAAGCTTTGAGGCCCAATAATGGTTGTCTTACTAGTGCCTGAGAGCCCGTTTGATAACTATTTCATTTTAATTTTTTTTCATTTTTTGTGCTAAAGTATAGAGGAAAATGAGAGTGAGGATAGGATTGAAAGAGATGATGGGAGGGAGAAGTAACAAAAGTGAAAACAAAAACTTGAAAGTGAAAACAATTTCAAATAGATTTTAGTTTTCACTTTTATTACTCCTCCCTTCTGTCATCCCCTCTCATGTTCCCTCTCAATTTCATATTTACTCTTGTTCTCACTTCAATTCTCCCTCTCTTTTTTTGGTAAAATAAGGGGCTGAAGCCCAAACAACACAAAAAAAACTACACAACAATCATTCTTGGACGAGCCAAGCTTCTGGCATCAGCAGCAAGAAGCTCCACAACCACACCAGGCGCTAAATCCAAAATATGCAAACCCAAGTGAAGATCATGGCTCATAGAAGCCAAAGAATCAACAACAAAATTCTGCTCCCAAAAAATATGCTTGACAGAACAGCACAACTCCTTCTGAATCAGCAAATAGCAACAATTTATAATGCTAAAAAGAGGATGAGTATGACTAGGAGGATTCTGTAACAGAACCACAACAAACTTAGAGTCACATTCAACCTCCACACTTCGAAACCCAACTTCCCAAGCTAAATGGAGCCCCCAAAAAAATTCCCCATAACTCAGCCTCAATCACTAACCCAACACCCAAATTAACAGAAAAACCTTTAATCCAATTATTAACACAAAAATGAACACTAAAAACTAAAATTGAAATGGTTATCAAACGGGCATAAGTTTCTTCAAATATTTTTTCATGTAAAACTCCTTTAAACACAGTTTCTTGCCAATTGAGAAAAAAGAAGTGTGGTTTACCTTTGTGTTCAGACTCGAAAAATAAAAATATTATTTATGCGTGAGTAGCGAGTACATAGACCTCATTTTTTATTTTTGCTCAAGACTTTGAACGAATAATTTTGTATGTAACGGAATGTAGACTTCTTCTTTTTTTGTCTTTTGTTCTTCACAAGTAGGAGTGAGGAGGAGGAGAAAGAAGAGGAGAGAGAGATATACAACCTAATTTTTCTCCTAAAATGGACCGATAACTAATGTGTCGTGTATAAAAAGGGTAGAGATATGCATCCGTTGTATTAGGCTTTTATCTTTGTAAGGTTGTCTCCCAATGTCAGAGAGGTGCTTTAGCATGACGTGACCTTGGCAGAAGAAAATTTATCACACGTTTTTGAAATGTGCTAGCTTGCTAGGGCCACTAGCCATTATTAGGTCTTTCACCTCCAGATTCGTTTGAATATTTGTTGCGTGGAAGAAGGGATGATGAACAGCATGAAAACGAAATCTCGAAGTCGGTGACAAATAAGGTGGTGACAGCATGAACTGTCACAAGGATCCTCGTTACATCGTTTCCAGAAATGAAAAATGTCTGCAACACACATTTTCCACACGTAGTTGAAGCTCTTATACATATGAAAAGTGAGTTTTTAGGGCGACGATCACATTGTCACCTAATTTTATTAATTTGGGTCTTAAAAAAAATGATGTGTCACAAATTTAAGAGTAATATTCCGTGTTATGGACCTACGAGTAATATTTTGTGTCTATTGATATATCAACAAAGGGAATGCTAGGAACCTTCTCCTTTAGACCTTCTCTCTTTTTTGTTTGACACGTGTTATTCTCCTTACACTTAAAATAAAGTCATTAATATATTATACAAGTTAACTTTTGCTTTACAAGTTTACCCTTATTAAATGTATTCAATTTATCCACACAAAAATTCACCACTTTCTTACAATCCTATTATTATTTTTTTAAATGTCAATTATTTTTTTAAAGAAAATGTCTGTTTTTTTCAAAAAAGAGGAAATATCCTTTTTTTTTTAAACACAAAGGACTTCATCTTCTTTTTTCCTATATAAACCCTTTGTGTTATAAATTATAAATTTAAAAAAATGGACATTTCCTCTTAAAAGCATATATTTTCTTTAAAAAAAATAATTGACGTTAGAAAAAAATTAATAAGATGGTAAGAAACTTGTGAATATTTTTTGGATAAATTGAATACATTTAATAAGGGTAAACTTGGAAAGCAAAAGTTAGCTTGTGTAATATATTAATGATATTGTTTTAAGTGTAAAGAAAATAACACATGTCAAGCAAAAAAGGGAGAATGTCCAAAGGAGAATGTTAGAAAGAAGGTTGCTAGCATTTCTCTATCATCAATTGGGTTGTGATTAGAGGTTTGTTTTTTTCTCCTTAACTTCGTTAACATCATTATTGTTCTCTTTAAAAATTGTTCTTAATTACATATGGATGCTTTTACCCGGCACCTCTTTTTTGGTGCATGTTGAAAATTCAAATATTTTTTGTATAAGGAAACCTATTTGTATGCGTGTTTCTCTAGGAAGTAAGGGCTCGTTTATGAGTGCTTCTGGAAGGGGTAAAAGCGCTTTCTGACAACCAAAAGTGTTTCTGACAGTGTTTGGCAGAAAAGTTTAGAAGTGTTTTTGGGCCATAGAAGCGTTTTCTGAAGAAGCATATGTTATGTGCTTCTTCAAGAAGCACTCCCAATTGATTTTTCAAAAAGCACTTCGAATTTTTATGAAATTTTCAACAACTTTATAATAAAAACGCTTATGTTAGAAGCGTTTATGAGCAGAAGTGCTTCCTAGAGAAGCAGTCCCAAACAAGCCCTAAGTCATTTTGTAACTTCAAAAGCCACTTTTGTTTATTCTTTATCAACCACGCTATGGATGTTTATATGAAAACAACTTCCGACAATGACTCTTATTGTAACATAAATCTTGTGCTAGAATCTCTATTCAGTTGAAAGGAGCTCTTGGCCTTACCCTCCTTCAGCGAAGGAAATTCGTCACATTTGTGTTCTTAAAGATGTTAGGTAGGTAGCATTCGTAGAGTAATTGCTTCCTCATGCAAAGTTTTGAGTTTGAGTCCTCCTAGCATTCGTCTAATGTATGTGAGTTTAGTATATTATTATTCGTCTCAATAGTAAAGATGCTCCACACAAAAAAGGTAGGTAGGGCTCTTTCATATAACTAGTTTTGATGTGTTCAAAAGGGTAGCTTTTAAGTTCAAGTGTGAATATACTACCGGCACATAGTATTATTAATTCACGTATAAAAACATAGATGAATAATTTTACACTTTAAAATATAATACGAATAAAATATACGTATATTAACATATAAGTAAATTAATAACACTATTGCTACAATCAACCTAAAAAATTTAAATATATGTATTAGATCACGGCGTGTATATATATGCACTTGAATTGTACACGGAACTAATTCCCATGCCAAAACAAATGGCCGGAAAGAGGGCTTCAATCACTTTCAAGCCAACCATGCAAAGTTGTGAAAGGGGATGAGGCAGAGAAGAGAGGAAGAAGCAAAATCAAATTGCAACTTGGTATCCGAATTAAGTCGATCGTGTTTTCAAACCCAATTCTCGTATGCAATAATTTGTGGTCTTCAATTTGTTTTGTTTGGCGTGTGCCATCAAATGTGCGGCGCTGCTATTGTTGGTTAGCTTTCTCAAGTCCTATCAAGTAACTGTCGCTACAAGTTCTTTTCCCATGCCTTTATCTAAACACAGCCACCATCACTTTAAATAATCATGCAATAATTTAGAGAGGAACAGCCGCCGTCCTTATTCATGTGTTGACTACATGCTGTGCAACTACATATGTACATGGTCCATCGATTTCAATAGTTTCTTTTCTTTTCTTTTCTTTTTGGTTGAAGATTTCAATTCATTTTAGGAACCATCCATTCCCTTAATTCAAGCATATGAGCGCAACGTGTGTGGTCTCTTAAGTTTCCGCTCTGAGACAACTCTTTACTCAATATTGTCTCTTCATTTTATGATGTGGGACAACTCTTTAATTCACTTCCTCCCTTAACTTTCTAATCCGGAACCACTTTCGTTTCACATCTTGCCTTGACTTTTTAGTGTGACAATAAGATATTTATATTACAACTCTTTTCAAATTCGATGGTCGTGACGTGACGAGAATGATGAGCACAATATCCAAGTGTAGAATGGAAATGTCAGATAATAAACTCAGTTTCTTTTTTCAAAATAAAGCAAGATATAACCCCTCGCACGATATTAGAACGTACCCATGTTTTGTGATACTTGGGTGA